AACACAGCTGCAAACTGTGACATCAGCTCGCGAAATGCGCTGGCAGTGTGCTGCTATCGGCCGTGAAACACCGCCCTGGCCCGGGGCTCGACCACCGAGATCGGGCCCGGGGACTCGGCTGGAGAGCCCACACTGTAAAAAAAGTTTAGCACCATAGAGGTACTTTTCAATTGACTAATTTTCAGTACCCTAGCGGTGCTAAGCTAAGCATTTTATTCGTACTTAACTGAGATCTAGTTTAGTATCAAGGTGCTAATATAAGTACCCATATTTGTTTAGCACCCGTGTACTAAATGTAGTACTCTACACCTGCTAGACCAATTTTCAGTACCCTAGCGGTGCTAAACTTTAAAAGGTGCTAAGAATAGCATGCAGTTAGTACCTTCCATACTCACATATGAACCGTTTTAGCGCTATTGTTACCCCACGACAAGTAGAATAATGCTAACGAAAGCATTGGGGCTGAAAGTTGAATATCTATACTAGTTAAAGCTGCTGCATGAAAAGTTCGCAAAAACTGCTTTCTTTAGCAGCACATACTTTCACTAGTTACTGCAAAAAGGACTAATCAATTACCAAAAAGGAAATTGTGTAAGGCCGAAAAGACGTGCAAAAAAGGTTATATCCTAGATAAGTGATAACTACAAGTCTCAATGATTGTGTTTTGCATTCTGCAATATTCCCGTGTAAGTGCATCTTTCAAGCATCCAACACATTATAAAATTAAAAAATAACAATGGAACATTTATTAACACTTCATATCATCTGCATGAAAAACAAATGTAAATATATACACAAACAAACGCACGGGAAATAACGAAAGGTCGCTCATATACCTGCACACTTGCAGTGACCGACGATTAACGCGAGATCGACTGGGGGATGCGGGGGGGGGGGTCGTTGAACCGACGTTCCGTTCATGGCCATAAGTTCGACCTCATCCACGACCAGACGGCGTTTAGTGATAGACGGAACCGGAGACCCTGTGTTGTTGTCGTAGTTGTCCTCCATTGTAAGTGGTAGTCGACGGAAGAACTGACCAGGCCCCATGCCTGGAGCAAAAAAAACTGGATCAGTTCCAATATTTTTTTTCTGTTGGGAGCTATTTTCGCAAGCAACACAACTTTCCTTCAGACCAAAAAGCGCGATTTGCCAAAGTCGGAATATGAAGCACTTAAACAATATAAGATAATGTCAAAAGATACAACGTGTCAGACTCACCAAAGTCGATCAACGTCGGTGTTGGTGGCATGTGTCGGTGGCAAATGCTCATGTACCACCCGGCCCCGGAGCACTTCACTTCACTTCACTGCACTGCTGCACTGCACTTCCCTCCACCTCACTGCACCTCCCGGAGCATGGGGGCACGCACTCCCATGCCACGCACGACGGATTCCACCGATAATAGCTGATTTAAGCTATCATTCCAGAGCTATCACTCGGTGGCATGTGCCCGGAGCACTTCACTTCACTTCATTTCACTTCATATACCGGAGCACGTGCACACACTCCCACCACGACCAAATGACTCCACTAAAATGGCGCAACACGTGGCCGGAAACAGCTGGCACGCGCATGCGCATATCGCTCTGCGCCGTCAAAACGTGCTAAAGGGCTGGTGATAAGACTCCCAGAGATTTGTAAAGCAGGGCTTAGCTACTTTCTTTGGCGCCAATTTCAAATTTGTTTCCTCTGTAAGCATGTCCGGTTCTATTGTGATGCTAACGTAAGCACCATATTCAGCATTACCAACTTCTAAAACACTTAAAATGGTTCTAATTAGAAATCCAGCTTGAAAGAGCACTCACTGATGGACTGGGTACTAGCAGAAGTAGACGTTAAGCTCAGTAGAAGAATAGGTGATCTAAACTTATAATATTTGATGGGAATGTTAGCTATCATTAGCACAGTATTAGCACCATGCTTCTTTGTAAATACGTCGTAGGGTTCTTTTGACGCTAAAAGGTGCTACGAATAGCAGCCGTTAGTACCCTAAATGCTAAACTTTTTTTACAGTGCAGGGTCTCGGGTGGTGAGATCGGGCCTGGAGCCTCAGGTGTGAGACCGGGGCCGGGGTCTCGGACTGTCGGGCGGTAAGACCGGGCCCGGGGTCTCAGGCGGTGGGACTAGGCCCAGGGTCTCGAGCGGTAGGACCGGACCCAGGGTCTCGGCCGGAGAGACCGAGTCTGGGGCACTTTCAAATAAAGCGATTTGTCCATACTTATTTCGATGATTTTGATCCCCATCCTGTTATCTCTTCCTGTGCGCATTTGAAGCATGTGCATGTGCGTAATAACAGCACTGATGCTCTATAAGCGCACACCGGGAGTTGGTCGACGTTTGGCCTTATATATCATAAATGATAGAAGACCGCTGAAAAGCAAATGCCGGGCTAAACAAAGAAATGTTTAGGATAACTACTGGTACCAACCTTGTCAACATGATAGGCGTCAGTAGGCCACACGAGTAGTTTTCCTGTTAGGTGTGCGTGATAGGGGCCACTTACCCTATATCTAGTCGGTTACAGTAAACGTTTTCGTTGCACTTTTACAAGCGTACGGACACATGTAAAGTTATCTACCTGGACAAAAAAACATCGCGATATATATCTACATTTATTATTTATCCAGCCTGAATAACATAAAAAATGTTTAGGTAAGCCGCAATGACATTAGACTGCCGGGGTGTATGCATTCCGTCTCATTCACTTAGCCATGTTAAAGTATAGGGCGCAATTGGGTTCTAATTGCGCCATCCCCCTGGCGCAATTTACAGCAGTTGTTGGCAAATGCGCCCTTTTGCATGTTTCTGAAAAAGCAGCTGTCAGAAGCAAACGAAACATTCTTTATTGATCGGGAGGCTCTTAAATCGTAGCCAATGAGCTCCTCTTTGAAATGGTTACCAGTGCATGCTTATATCTCCAGCGGTTTTCTTACAATTAGCGTTTTTCCTTAAGGTGGCGCAATTCACCCTCCTTCCCCTACCTAGATACCATTTGGAACCTGAGATGATCTCAGGAGAATAAACGTGGGTCATGAGTGCCATTTTCATGTTCATTGTACCATATCTATTAGCTAGGTACTTACCTACTTGTAATTCAGTATTTGAGAGTGGTTAGAATGACGCTTGACGTTTGTCAGAGGAAGGGAAACATTGGCCTGGGCGGCCACCATGGTACATCGTCGGGACTGACTCTGAGCATCTATTTTTTCGCCATACCTATCTGTTCGCACAGTTTCTTTTCTGATGTTACAAGCGGGAATGTTGGATAAATAGGTAAGTGCCTTTGGACTTTGGTATCGACCCAGATAGGTACCCCTCCATTAGGTCTAGGACCTTTTTTTGTTGAAGAAATCTGACCAAAAATAAAAATAAATCCGCAGCTCGGGCCTGCTGACCTGCCCTCTGCCCTCTGTAGGCATCAAAAAACAGTGGCGGATCCAGGGGGCAAAATGGGCATTTGCCCCTCCCAAACGGCATAATTTTAACATTACGCCTATGGACGAGGCATGGAAAGAATCGATAAATTGTTTTGGTTTGCCCCTCCCCCCCCCAAAAAAAAAAACTCTGAGCTGGATCCGCCTCTGATCAAAAATGTGTTTGTATTTTTTTTTTTTCGAAACCTCTAGGCATTCGGGGGCTATCGCAACTATTCGTCCGGGGGGAGGACGAAAAACACGCTCCCCGGGCCCGCATGGGTTAACGCGCCTCTGACGAGTGGTACGGCTGACAGAACTTGTGTCCTTACAAGTTGGGGAGCCGTGGCGATGCCCCTGGTTGCAACATATATTACTATGTTGAGGATTATCAATTCTTGCGTTTTTCCCCCTTTTAAAATGAATTCAAAAGTTTAGGCCATACATGCACTATAATATGTCACATATATTACTATGCTGATACTTCAAACTTGTATACCGATAATTTGCATAGCCTTGACCGCTAAAATAGCTGGAAACGTGGTAGGTAAAAATACCTACAGGCTGTGTCTGATCTGGAAGCAATTTAGCAATATGGTAGCGATAAGCCTAGACAAACAGAAAGCATATGTTTCATTCATTTTTCTCGACTAATCTGTTCAATCGCAGTATTAGCGACAATTGTTTGGGAAATACTGACGCATGATTCGTTCGTGAATTCACATCGATCCGTCAAAGCCTAAAAATGAACAGCCTCCCTTAGTATATATGGTATTTTTAAATCCGCCATCTAATAATTTTTTTGTGATTGCACGTGCTAGTTAAGGTAACTTCTAATTAACAGTTCATTGATCATCAAACTATTTCTTATGCTGACTTAATTGTTATGTTTTGTCCATTAGCAAATTGAGATTGGATTGGTATGCAAATTGCAAGCTGTAGTTGCGAGTAGAATAATTACACTTATGCTAATTTTGCTAAACATCACATTGTGGTTCTTTGATATATATTTTATTGTTCACATTGCATTATGTCAACATAGCATTAAAGCATCAACATAGCACATAGCATTATGCCATTATGTCAACATCAACAAAGGATGTGGTACCTATAATCTTTCCTAAAGATATTAAGATTTTAATTGTTAACTGTGATGTGATATACATACAAGTCAAGGCATCATACGGAGCTCAAGGCATACCAAGCCCCACTGACCTGACCGAGCTCTTGGGATGTAATAAATTAAAGATAGCTTTTTCAGTATGCATGAGCTGTTGTGTGGCTGCACTTAGATCCGTAGTTATATTTCTCTGAATCAGAATGCTAAATTTATTTTTATTTGCAATATGCCGCGCTCCTCGCAGAGATGCGTGAGAGCATCCGCGACCACGGCGCTGCTCCAGAACCGCTGTGAACGATCTGAACATTCTCGACTCTGCTTTGGTTCTGTCAATTACTTAAATACAGAATAAAAATAGCCATCATTTGCACACTGAACTGAACTCTGCAAAGTGAAATATGTGCTCAAGTTTAAGCACTTAAGTCCACAATTCCACAAAAGTGTATTTTGCATGAATGTCTTTTGGAAAAATGTATGATGATTATGATTTATGCTCTGATTTCAGGTGATCTGGAATTAGGATGGTGCATGTGATAGACGCACACCATTTTGGTGGTCAACAGGTGGTTACCATTGACCACCCGCTCTCCATCACAACTGGTCCAGATAACATTCTGTTTGTGGCAACAGCAGATCACAGCCTTCATGTGAGTGTACTGCATCTTTGAACACATTTAATGCATCCTTTAATTCAAAAGGTGCAGACTAAATCTATAAAGATACAATTTTCCCTCTTGCCTTCCTCTTTCACTCTCTCTTTCATTCTCTCCCTCTCCCTCTCCCTCTCCCTCTCCCTCTCCCTCTCCCTCTCCCTCTCCCTCTCCCTCTCCCTCTCCCTCTCCCTCTCCCTCTCCCTCTCCCTCTCCCTCTCCCTCTCCCTCTCCCTCTCCCTCTCCCTCTCCCTCTCCCTCTCCCTCTCCCTCTCCCTCTCCCTCTCCCTCTCCCTCTCCCTCTCCCTCTCCCTCTCCCTCTCCCTCTCCCTCTCCCTCTCCCTCTCTCTCTCTCTCCCCCTCCCCCTCTCCCTCTCCCTCTCCCTCTCCCTCTCCCTCTCCCTCTCCCTCTCCCTCTCCCTCTCCCTCTCCCTCTCCCTCTCCCTCTCTCTCTCCTCTCCCCCTCCCTCTCCCTCTCCCTCTCCCTCTCTCTCTCTCTCTCTCTCTCTCTCTCTCTCTCTCTCTCTCTCTCTCTCTCTCTCTCTCTCTCTCTCTCTCTCTCTCTCTCCACAAAAACTATCAGACTGCAGAGGCTGCATTCCCTGTCCCCACTCATGGTGGGATTGTACCTACTAGGTGATGTTCATTTTCAATCCTGTCAGTGTGATGTGTTTCCAGTGACAGACAACTGTTGTATTGCTGTCAGATACTGGATATCACCACTGGTGAGCCAGTGAAGCCGCCTTTCTCCACTGTGGACGCTGCTGTCAGCATATGCTACTCTCAATATGGTGAGTGGTGGTAGCATTTGTTGTCACATTTGGGATAACCAATATTCCATAAAACTGCTGTGTGAAGGGCTGTTTTGCTCCTATTCTCGACTATTGTCAGTGTTTTCTCCGGCCATTTAACCTTGTCTCACATGTCAGATGTCACCGATAAACTGCTCCCGTCCCAGTAGCTGAGTGTTGGCATTAGGTGCCCGACGGCAGGGCTAGCTCAGAACCGTGTCACTGACCGCTGTCACTCCCATATCTGCGAGCCGGCCGGCGCTGCTGGCAACCGCCCAACAGCTGTGGCTCTTCTCAGCGGCTGCAGGCCTCAGGGTCACTGACCTGACGTGCCGGGATCCGCCGCCTGTGTCAAATGGTGTTATAGGCTGTGTATCGCCCAGTCGACCTTGTTTTCGGAATATGGCCGCGGACTAATTTCACAAAAACTGCGTGTGAGGTACGCTGCTTTTTAAGCCTTACAGGCGATCATTGTACGAATCGACTGCGGTTAACAGTTACGTGTGTCCCGTAGCTCTTTTCCGCCGCGCTGGGCCGACGTCCAGTGATACACATTCGGTTGGGCTTATCCCGCGGTTTGCCCTGTGCTGTTCTGGTGTCCGTTGTCACGGTCGCGGCTCACGCTGCGTTGTTTGTACTGCGTTATGTTTGGTGTCGCATTTGTCGTGCTACGTTGTTCGATTTGCGCTGTTGATGCTACGTAGCTGCGCTGCCTGGGACACCTGAATGTGTCACTCAACTCTCATAGGCACACCTCATCCTCACCTCACAGTCTTTAAGTCTGCCTGCCCACCTCACCTGAGGGGGTGGGGAGGGACTCCCCACCCCCTCAGGTGACTACTTGACCGCGTTTGGGCCTGCCTCACCCTCTCTCCCTACCCCCTCAGGCGACTATGTGGCCGCCCTGGAGGCGAAGGAGGCACGCAACAGCCCCGACTTCTCTTACATTCGCGTCTACCGGCACTGGTCGCAGCAGGAGCGGGCGCAGCCGATGAGGGCGCGCATTGCTGCGCGCGTGACGCCGCCCAGCTCCGGCGCCGATCCCACCCTAGAGATGATAGAGGTACGTGCAATGATTTTTTAGATGATAGAGGTACGGGCGGCGACTGTCGAGATAATGAGGAGAAACGATCCTCCCTCGAATAATAATGTTACGACATGCACATATCCAGCGTTTATCGAGCAGATATCATCATGGACTCTGTAAAAGATAAGAGTTATAAGAAGCCTTTATTATGCTTGATGTGCGAATGTACATAAGTGTCCATGGGCATGGGAGAGGTGCTTCCAGTTGGTCTTGGGAGTTGGGACTTAGTACACTTTCCAACTTTCTGTCTCCATTTGACTGGCGCCTGTGACCGTCCGTATGTCTGCCGCCAGGTTCCCATCAACGAGCACGCCACGGCGATCGCCTGCTGCCAGCGCACGGGGAATCTGGCAGTGGCCTGCGGCTCACTGGTCACCGTACACCAGTTTGTACTCAAGGCACACGACATCTCAAAGTTCCAGTGAGTGGCCGATGTGGTCGGGCGCGTGGATTGTGAACAGTTTATCGAGTGCAGCGAATAATTGTTTTCTTGATCGTTTTGAGTCTTGAGCTGGTATTGATTACCGCCGGTTTTATTTGGAGCATGCATAAGACAGAACACACATAAGCATGCATGAGCTGTGTTTGTGTCCTGGGTATGTCTGAGCTGAGGTGTATCTGAGGTGTATGCATCCGACCGCTCCTCCGACATTGGCGTCAGGTTCGGTGACCTGGAGGAGGTGGTGCAACTGGAGCTGCCGTTCGAGGTCACCGAGCTCGCGCTGTGTGAGGAGCTGCTGCTGTGTGCCGGCGCCGACCGGCTCCAGCTGCTGAGGCTGCGCGCAGAGCCGGCGGCCGGCGCTTCCGGCTCTGAGCGGCCGAGGACCGAGGATCCTCCCGAGGAGGACGGGGAGGAGGACCTGGAGGAGGACGACGATCTGCAGGTCGGTGGGGAACGAACAGCCCCAATCCTCCCCGCTGTAATTAAGGAAATAGCGAGATCCTACATCCAATAGCTCGGACGTACCGGCCAAACTTTCAGTCTTTATGTGGCCTGGGTGGCTGTTGTCGTTGGTGATGAGTTGGGCTATGACCCTACCTTGATCTCGATCCAGCTAGCCGTGCTTTGATGTTCTACTGGTGGCTGTTGTTCCCCAGATAATGACGTGGGACCCGGCGCTGCCGGCCGCTCGTCTGACCCTCCCGGCGCTCCACCGGCCGCTGCCGACTGCCGCCGACGCCGGGCCGGCGCCGCGCCTCCTGGTACCCGCCGGCCGGCCCCAGATCAGCGCCGAGTCGCTGCTCTACTGGCGAGAGCCCGACGGCGAGAGCCTGGTGGGCGGCGCGCTGTGCCTCACACCGTTCTACCAGCGCGCCGAGACCGGCCTCACCAACGGACAGAGAGGTGCGCTGCCGGGAGGGGTGACTGGTTTTTTATCACGGCTTTTTTGCTGTGAACCTATCTCTTATTTAAGGCTGAAAGAGTTCCAGTTGTTAAATTTTCTCTGCAATGAGTAATTGACATCGCCTTTCTAATAAACTTTATAAATAGATAAATGATGTGGTTAGATGTGTACGCGGGCATCGTGTCTCGTGCAGTGTGCCCTCTAGTTACACTCCCTGTAACCCTTGTGGTCCCTGCTGTGTCTCAGAGTCGGGCGCCGCCGGCGGCCTCCACTCTGCCGAGCGCGGCCTGCTCTCCGCCGTCTCTGTGTTCTTCTCGTCCTCCCACGAGGGCCGGCTGTACCTGGTGGCGCCTCTGCGGCCGGCCGACGGCCCGCCCGCCTACGCCGCCCTCGTGGGCAGCCACTCGTATACGTCTCCGCTACTGCTGGCCGCCCGGGAGGCGCATATGCTGCACGCTGTTACACACACCGGACTCGGTGAGTGAGTGAGTAAGTGAGTGAGTGAGTGAGTGAGTAAGTGAGTGAGTGAGTGAGTGAGTGAGTGAGTGAGTGAGTGAGTGAGTGAGTGAGTGAGTGGGGCTGTGGCTGTGCCGTAACCCACACTGGCATCGGTGAGTGGGTGGGCTGTGCCCTCCGCCACACACCGGGCTCGGTGAGCTGAGCACTGGAAACTGGGCACCCGTCCTAAGTATAGATCGGGTACGCAAGCCCGCCCTGCTACCATCTAGCTAAAAGAAAAAAATTGTCATCGAAATAATTCAAAAATCGTAGTTCCGCGCGCTCGCATAGGTCGTCAATGACGGGACGGATGATGTGTCAATTTTTTAACCTAACGAAAGCATGAAATATGTATAACGATCACAATCGTTATAGACTGGTCCTTCTTGTAGCATCGAATCCCAAAACCTGACCTTCGTTTTTCTGTAATGTAAAATAACAAAATTGGAATTAATGTAATATATCGCCAACATCCGCTAAAAATAAGGTAAGGTTACTCACACTTGTATTCTAAGGCTGACGGCAGCCAGCTGTTTAGCCCCGACCTCGTTTGACTGTTATCATCAGTGTCTTCCTGTCACGGAAACGCTCTCGTCAGTGTAAATACTTGTATCAGCCGCGTCATATCGCGGGATTTGTTCAGAGGAACCGCCCTGCGACTCGGTCCGATGTCGTCAGCTGGGAGCAGCTGTTGCGCTGTACCAATGCTCCCATAGCTGTTTGGCAATGTTCTACGAATTGATATGCAGTCTGTTACTGCGTGTTTCTTGTCTTGTCCATAACTGCCCCCCCCCCATCCCCAACACAGACGCTGCCAGTCATAGATACTCTCTCTAACCTTCGGGCTGTCATTGCCGCTGAACAAATTCGGACTTAATTTAGTATTCTAACGTCACTTCATTGCGGCGCCAAATTCTATCTGGCAATTTTGTGTTCTCTTTTATTGAACCCATTCCCTACCCTGTGCTGTCGGTCGTCCCGGCTGAGCTGGTTGGCCGTTCGTCTGACTACCTAGTTAAATTCTCCCATCGAAGCCCGGCCTGTGCTAAACAATCGGTAGTCGCCGCGTCTGGTCACCCCAGCACTCCCTCCACTCGATACCACCCACTAACGCACCATTCTCTCCCCTGCAGAGAGCTACACTGTGCGCGACACGCGGCGCCTGAGTCGTCTGGAGCGGCCGACGGAGCCGTGCCCGGACCCGGCCGAGGCCGGTTTCCTGCTCGGGATTCGGCCGTTCGTCAATGTCACTCACATGTGTGTCGGAGATGGCGTGCTGGTTCTGGCCGCCTCCGGGCCGGAGGACAGGTGAGTTGGACCGCACGGGAGACGGGTGCGGTGTGTGCCTGGAAAGGACTTTACCGTACCAATGAGAGACAGGACGGACTAAATAGGACATGGATGGCGAACCGAGCTGGGGACAGGACGGTTCGGGACCAACCGGAGACATTTAAGGGACCAGAATGAGCTATAGGAACCGAGCCACTCCAGGAAAGTACTGCGGCATTGTACGATAACCCGTGAATATGTGTATTTGTATTGTCTCATACGGTGACTCTGTCATGTTGTACCTGCTGCGGCTGCCGCCGCCGGAGGAACTGTACGATAACTCCTGTTGTGTCTGTGTCCTACAGTGACTCTGCCACTCTCTACCTACTGCGCCTTCCGCCGCCGGAGGAGCTGTACGATAAATGATAACCCCTGTTGTGTCTGTGTCCTCTGCAGTGACTCTGCCACTCTCTACCTACTGCGCCTGCCGCCGCCGGAGGAGCTGTACGCCGAGTGTGCGCGGCTGGGCGGCACACACGGCCACCACGCCCCGGCCATGTGTCAGGCGCTGCTGGAGGAGGCGCACATGGTTTTGCGGCCGGCCGTGAGGTGGCAGCTCGGTCGGCCGCCCTCCGACCGACTCATTGCTGAGTATAACAGCTCAGCGGCCAACGTCGGCTACTATCTGCTGAGGTAAGACTGGGGTTGTCGAATCCATCCGTCTGGTCGGCAACATGGCAGGGTTGGTAGGGATTCGGTTAGTGTATTCGATAGAGATCTGTCAGTACTGCTTGGAATGTGGATAATTAGCTACTGGTTGACGGGGATGGCGCTCTCCGCCATATCGGTTCTGTGTCTGGGTTGTCTGTGTATAAATGTCTCTATGTCTGTGTGTATGTCTGTGGTGAATCACCCTCTGACCTGGCCGGATCCTGTCGCTCCGATACAGGTCGTCCAGTGAGCAGGACTGGCCACGCGCCACGCCCTGGCTCCAGCTGGCCGCCACCTCCGTCGAGGACGTCCTGACCCAGTGTGCCGAGGCGCCCGGTCTGGAGAGCTACCTGAGCAGCGCGCTGTCAGCCGCCGACGGGCCGCCGCTCTCCTACCAGACTGCCAACCAGGCGCTGTCGGTGCTGAGTTTCCGCGCCCCGGACGCGCTGGCCGGTGTGCTGCTGGCCGCCGGACCGCTGGTGGAGTTCCGCGCCGAGCCGCCGCTCGAGGCGCTCGAGCAGCTGCTGGAGGAGACGGAGCTGAGCGAGCCGGCCGCGCAGGCGGCCCGGCTGGCGGCGCTGCTGCTGCTGGCGCGCACCGGCGGAGGCACGGCCGAGCGGCGCGCGCCGCTGCTGGAGCCGCTCACGGAGGAGGCGCTGCCGGCCGGCTGTCCGCACCTGCTGGTGGCAGAGGGCGGCGGCCGGCGCCGGCTCACCGAGCTGGCCGAGCTGCTGGCCGACGGACGGCCCGACCTGCTGGCGGCTGGACTGGCGGCGCTGGCGGCCGCCGGTCGGCCGCCGCTGGCCGAGCTGACCGGCCTGCTGCTGGAGGCGGCGGACACCAGCGACCGGCGCGCCGCGCTCCGCTACGAGCTCCTCCTGCGGGACGTACTGGAGCGGCACCTCCAGGCGGGCGGCCGGCCGCAGCGCGCCGGCCAGGCGGTCACCCTGCTCGTCAGGATGTACCTGGGCGGCACGGTGGGCGCGTTCCCGCCGGCGGGCGCGGCGCCGGCCACCGGTCCGGCCCTGGAGCGGCACCGGCTGGGCGCGCTGTACGGGCCGCGCGCCGCCTGGCTGAACCTGGTGCCACCGTTCGCGGGCCGCGCGCCGGCCCAGATCCTGGCAGATATGGAGGCTGACCCGCGACTGGTCGACCTCGTCATGCTGCAGGTGAGGAATGGAGTGCGGTCAGCGCGGGGACGGGCTGGTGGTCCTCCCGGCACAGACCGAGCAGGGGATGGATGTCCCGAGGCTGATGGGCTCAAAATTTCCCCCAATAAATAAACAGGGATGTGTCGATGGACGAAGGCTATGAATAGAACTGTAACTTAAAATTTCGGTTACCAAATGTTTGTCGCGTAGTGCTCCTAACGAAAATGCAACGTTTGAAGGCGGGGATACTGCGGTTGCCCCTTGTATGAAGCGAATGTTTTCAAGGCGATCCTTTTCCCACCGGATTTGTATTGCGAATGTGTACATCAGTTATAGCAGTGTCCCACTCGCCCGTCCTCTGTTTACCACCCTCTCAGTGACCTCCCTCCCCTCCCCGCACCTCCAGTCGCTGCTGTGCTCGGACCTGCCGTCTGCCGAGGACAGGCGCCACATCCGAGAGTTCCTCTCGGCCCACCCGTCGGCGGTGGGCCACGACGCGCTGCTGGCTCTCTGCTCCGAGCTGGCTGACGCCGCCGCGCTGCTGGCTGAAAAGTACCCCGAGGCGGCGCTCGAACACGCCAAGGTGAGGGATGAGATCAGGGAAGGGTGATGTGATAAGGTCAGAGGCGAGGGCAAGGTAAGAGTAATAAGGGCCGTGTGGGAACTTGGATGGTTTCTCCACATTTTCAAACAGTTGAATGCTTTATGTTTCACCGTCCTTTGCGTTCTGAACACGCCGCGTCCCCGGGTCTATGAATCAACCCACCCTGTGCGGATGTTGCGTGTCCCAGCCTGTATTCTTGTCTGTTGATTGTGATGCGAGTACCCAGCGTATCTTACGGTGTACCATCTCCCCTCGCCAGGAGCGGTGTCGGAGCCCGTCCGACTGGCGGACGGCCGTGCAGGCTCTGTCGGCCGCCCAGCAGACGGCCGAGCCGGACGGCGGCCAGCAGGGCGCGCTGGCCGCCCTGCTGGACCACCTGGCCAGCACGGTGCCACCCGACCAGCTGCGGCTGGTGCTGGCCGAGCGCGCCGACCAGCACGGCGCCGCCCTGCTGCGCTGCCACAACGTGCAGCGCGCTGACGTGGTGCGCGCAGAGGTAATGCGCATGGCCTGATGGCCCGGCGGGCTCCCTTCGGCCCCGGAGCGGCCCTCTCAGGTCAACGGTCAGTCAGCGGGGACCTTTGGCGAGAAGGGTATGGAACGGCGGTGTGCGGCGTCCCATGAGTGCCCCCGGGTCTATTGTCGGTGATGATCCGAGGCTGTGTCAGTTGAGAGATAGCCTATCCCACCTTACGTTGGTTGTTGCATCTGGTCAGCGTGAAGTAAGTCGAATGCGGGATGAGTTCCTTTGCATGCCATATACGACACATGTATTCGGGGTGCTGCAATGAGCTTACTATTCACCGCGAGTGAATTACATGCATGTCATGCAATGGTCGCTTAAATATGTAATGCTTTGTATGTATTCATTATTACTGCGCGCACATGACAATCTTAGCCTTCTCCTTGTCAAGCTCTGGTAGGGAGAAGGGGCCCATGAGCTGTTTGGCGCTGTGATTGGATGACATTGTATCTACCGATGGCGACATCTCGGGAGGGCGCGTATGGCCCACAGCGCCGCAGAATCTCACAGGTTGGGGACGTATTTGGTCCAGTATAGATACTCGAGCTCTTTATATGGAGTGTATTGCTACAACAAAAGACAGTTTGTTCAGACTGCATCAATGGCGTAAATAAAGCATGTTTGTCTTTCTGCCGTTGCCTTCCATAGAAGCTCGTGCGCACATTGGCCCGACAGCGATTACAGACCTAAGCCGCCTGGCCACGGACTGTATGGCCTCGATATCACCTACATCGCCGATCATTTCTCGCTGAAACAGTCGGTTCGATCAGAACAGGGACTGCTGAGATTCGTCATTCAGTTCACACGACGGCTCGCGTGTTCCGGGCCGGGCGGTGGATGCATGTCCACACCGTTGTAAATATCAGATCCGTACCAAAAATACAGATCATTAGCAAGGATCTGTGAAGGCACTTAGTAAACTTACATACTATACACACAGTTGTCTTAGAAAAGAAAGACGGTACAGTCTTGTGTCTGCGTTACAACTTACAACACCCGCCGTCATAGTCTCGCCCGAACCACAGCACCCCTTGCCGACAGCAAAAGCGACTAACAGCAGCTACATATACTCGTAAGCGACTACCACACTACGTGTCAAGCCAATTAGAACATACCACGCAAAACTACGCATACCTCACAAACAGCAGGTCGGATGACCCTGTTCAAAAATGTAAAGCTCTTGTAAGTATGAAGATCTCTTCACAGCGTTTCACAATCTGTCCAAACAAGCATTCCGATAAAGACGCTGATATCAAGATGGTGTGGGAACCTAAACCTGTCTCCTTAAAAAGTGCATTGATCACACCGTATGGCCCCATCCGAACCGCTCGTATTCCAGGAACGAACTCGTTGCGAAGGACAGCCAATGGCGAACGTACAGCACGAATACCACGCAATCACACTATACCGCCCACAGACTTCACAGGTTGCAGCTGCCATCCAACCAACCGATCATTAGACTGATCGACCGACCGATCCCCCGACGAACCATCACTTCATCCTCCCGTCGACGATCACACGTCCGGGTCGACGAACGACACCATGATGTAGCGGGTACCGTTGGTGGTGGGCAGCCCCTGGTGCTGGTGGGTCAGTCGTCCCGGGTGCATCAGCACCCAGCCGAGCCGTGAGTCGGTCACCGAGCACTTGTAGCGCGTGAAGTGCACGCCGCCGCCCTGGGAAAGGCGTGTATTGGTCAGTCAAGTGGTCAGTGTGGGTTGTTGACTTGCAATTGCACATTGCATAGGGCCTTCATGCGCTATGCGCTTCGAGCTATCGGTTGAGGTTGCTGCGTGGTGACATACTCGTATAAATTGCATACATAGGCTGGTACTGCATAAATAAAACACAACAGCAGCTATCTGGTCCTCAAGTGGCGGTCGATTGGCGCTGTAACGCAATCTTCGGATAAACGTCACACCGGGGCGGCGATGGGGAAGGATCGGACAGACACTGACCTCGTAGTCCTTTCCGGGCTGGTTGAGCGCGATGTTGATGGTGTAGGTGGAGCTGTCGCAGTGAGGTCGCAGCGCCGCCTGCACGTCCCAGCGGTAGCGCACCACGAAGTTGGCCCCGGCGTACGGCGGCTGAGGGAGGGGGGTGGCCGTCAGTAGCGGGAGAAGGCCGGCTGACACTTATCAGGCCAAAACTGACTTTTCCGTCCCATCATCTATATTATAAATCCTAATACACAGTAAATATTCAAGCGGCACGAATCGTCTCCCCTGTCTACCCGAAGTACGAATCGACCAAGGTGTCCTAACAGCCAACGACTCACTACCCCAACTCAGGATTGCTAGAACATGTTCCTGTTGAGTGTTAACCGGCAAGCCCTTGAAGAGTCATATCGGCGTCTAATAAGCATTCGAATCTCCCTCCGGTCGTACGAACATTACAATCGTCCCCGGTCCTACTCCTTACTAACGCGCTCTCACCTCTCTGACGTGACCCTCGAAGACCTTCTGCTGCAGCGGCGTGACGTACTGATAGAGGAAGGCCATCCACTGGTCGTAGAAGCCCACCTGCTCCACCTGAATGTCGTCGGTAGGCACCGGGTCGTACTTGATCAGACGGTTCGTCTTGGACTTCTGCAGACGTGGATAAGAGACTGGGTGAGACGGAGAGAGACGGGTTGGATTTCCGACATCCGAGTCAGCCCATGACTGTCTGATGGGTCGGATATCAGCACAAGCCTTCCAGAAGACAGTCTAAAACACAACTAGGTGCGTCCAGTTACCAACTCGTCTATGGACCAGGGACTGGACTTCTTCGCCCCACCTACCTACTCACATATTCACGGAAATCGGTGATGCTCCAATCGCTATTGGACTCCTCCGCCCATCATTACCCCTCAGTGTCATCACTTACCGTCATGGCACCAGCTCAGTTCAGCACGGCGCAGTGGCTCTGGTACCTCGACAGCCCCAAACAACCGATACCTCAGAGCGCATGTATTGGAAGACAGCAGCAGCGGACTGGAGTCCCACAAAGTGTCGCACTGGCAGTGGGACCGTCACTGTGAGTTCCGCAGTAACCAGACAGCTGGACAACTCAGCCACGTCACTAAACAACGGATCAGAAAACTCCACATGGACAAAGACACAAAACGTAGTCATAGCTCAGCCAAATGAGATAATCTCAGCACAGAAAGGTGCAAAAAGCGCTAAAAAGAATGCAGTCGTTGACATTTCTATACATTTACTGACAGGCAAATGAGTGGAAATCTACAAACGTAGCGCTATCAAATGCATATAAAATTCCACTTACAACCACACGATATTGTTACTAACACGATATTGTTACTAACAACTCCAGCAATGGAAATCTTCATTGCAATATCATTCTATCAAAAACGTGACCGTCAGTTATTGTGAGCGCATTATCAACATTTGCACAGCTTTCTATGTGCGCCAGCCAATCACTGTGTATAATGCCGCCGAAAGTTCACTGATACCCAGCGTGTCTTGCCATCGAAACTACCAATGCCGCAGAAAACGACAAAGTCCTCTGCATTTCAGAGACTGGCGGGCAGCACAAAAGACGCTAGTGATTGGACCGACCGCCGGGCCGCCTATGAACTGCAGTCTCAGCTCGCCCGTCTGCAGTTTAAGCTCCCATTGGCCGGAGACCCTGTCCGTTCACGGGTCAATGAACGATACCATGATGTAGCGCGTGCCCTTGGTGGTGGGCAGACCCTCGTGGAAGTGGGTGAGCCGTCCCGGGTGCATCAACATCCATCCGGGCCGCGACTGGAGCACCTTGCAGTCGTACCGCAGGAACCGGCACCCGCCGCCCTGTGAGAGCAACAGAAAACCGTCACACGCACGTGGAAAGACACGGAGACAGGACGGAAAACGCGTGACAGGCATTACCACAGGCAGTAACCAAGAAATGTGCAGTGGGACTACCCGAGCTGATTCGAGATGATGGGCTCCCAGTATTATCTTCGTAGCGACTCCCCTGCAGTGCCTCCAAGTGGCTAGCCTTAGTTCCCACCATCATCGCTCCATCCCATCGCTTACCATTCTACCCACACTGACCTCATAGTCCTTGCCCGGCTCGTTGAGCGCCACGTTGATGGTGTAGGTGGAGGAGTCGTGGTGCGGACGCAGCGACGGCTGCTCGTCCGGCCGGTAGCGCACCACGAAATTCATCAGCGCCCGCGGAGGCTGTCCGGCGGCACGAGGGATAGGGTTAGACGGGGTAAGGTGGCAGCCATCACAGCCACTAACCCTGCAGAAAGCCAGCCGTCCGATCACTAGGTGAAAAATATGTCTAGCACACTGAGATGTTTAGTTCTAAATTCATTCAGCAGCAAAGTAACGAACATGAGAACAGAACGGTGTATAACCGGTTCAACTTAGTTAAATCTATAAAACCAAGTTATGCATAACATATTATGGTCTAATATTCCATTTTCAGACAACGGTGTGAACAATGAACATTATCATCAGCCATAGAACTCTATATACCGAGGTCTCTGTCTACCGAGGTCTGTATACCGAGGCATACAGAGGTCTATGCATCAGCAAATGAAAAACACAGCTTAGATCATACCATCACCACCATCACCATAACCGTCAAGCACATCAAGAGCAATGCAGCATTTACCACCACCACCGCAGCTGTTGCTGGATGCGATCGAACGGCAACGTTGCGGCACCAACCTCGACAGCTGCGCATTTACGCAAACGAAATACAGAATGGAGGAAGCATGCTCAGCTACTTCGAGTCCTGTTGGTAGGGATATTTAGCTCATCATCCAGAGATGTCCACACCAGCCAGAGTAGCCACCACCTCAAATCAGCGTGTCAGCGATGTTAGTTCGAATCAATGCGCGGTTAACGAAAGGTTTGAAAAGAACAAGTCTCTAACATCAAACCGTCACCGATGGATAAGATGCTCAGACGGATTGCCCCCCGACTGCGCACCTGGCGTCAGAATGTTCAGCCCCGCCGCTGCCAGCTGTAACCTGCACTCGTCACCAGCCGTCGCCAGCTGCTGTAACCATCACCAGATGCTACCAGCCATCACCATCGCTACCGCCACCTTGGATCACCACCAGAAGTCACCAGGCTGTCACCAGAGCCGCCAACACCATCCTCCATCACCAGCCGTCACCGTCTCCGTCTCCGCCGTCCCACTAGACCTCACCTGGCTCTCATAGCCCTCGAAGACCTTCGCCTGCAGCGGCGACACATAATCCTGCAGCATGAGCAGCCACTCCTGCTCGAAGCCGATCTGCTTCATATGGATATCCCTCGTCGGAACCGACTCATAGCCGCCCTCCAGTCGCGAGTCCTGCAACACGCTGGTCAGGTCAGACAGGGCGGGAGGCACCTACATTATGGAAGTAGCCGACGTACACCTTCTCTTGGAACGGGCGCACGTAGTCCTTCAGCATGAGCAGCCACTCGCGCTCGAAGCCGATCTGCTTCATGTGGATGTCGCGGGTGGGCACGTTCTCATAGCCGCCGTCCAGCCGCTTGTCCTGAGGCCACAGATAGCTGTCACCGGGGGTGGGCAGAGAGGAGACAGAGAGGGGGAGCAGACAGAGGGAAGCACCGTCACCGCAGCGGCCCACGGCGCCGCCGACAGAGGTCCAGACTCACGCTGATCAGTGGACATCGTGCTCAGACTGGTGGGTATGGAAAATGTGGCCGAAAATAAATTAATCGCATTTAATTATTCAAACAGATGCTTAAATCAAGGGGTTGATATAACGCCATGATAAAATCGAATTCGCAAGCGTCCAAAACCGTCTCAAAAATAAGATTTTCCAGAATTTGTTCTTTGCTTGAATGCCAAGCATGAAACGGTCCACATTTCCTTCAAACCAGTGCGTTTGTCGAGACCTCTGTCACAGCGCCACACAGAAACGACAGCTCAGTAAGAAAGCAGCTTCCTACCTGTGTACACTGTACAGCTTTGGCTTTAAGGGCATTTAAACCAAAAATTAGGCAAGGTTCAATGGAATTAGAACGTATAGCAGTATGCTCAAGAGACATTCAATTCAAGATACGTCTAAATAAGGTTCATCGGTTGATAAGTGATAGTTATCAGAAGACATAATTATTTCAAAGTGTTTTACGATCGCCTAGACGTACAGAGGCCAATATGAAATATCAAGCAGTGAGCAATAACTACATTACTGGCTAAATACTTCATTCCGAGCAAACGAATGCGGCTAAAAGTGGCAGATAGAACGGTTTATAAACACGAGCAACAGTCAGCGAGTGAAAAGAAGCGTTAGCAGGCGGTGGAGAAGATAAGTCCCAGTCACCAGTCTGTGAAGATGCTAGTCTAGTTCGGCGGTGACGTTAGTGTTTAGTCCGTCACCAGAGCTGTGGAACGTCGGTACGTACCTCGGATCTCCGTCAGCGTCACGTTCCGTCACGTCACTCGTCACAATCGTTAGTGAGTTCGCCGCGGTCGCAAAACATGCCAGTCCAGGGGAAAGCAACGTCCCAGACAAAACAAGAAAATAAGGCGGAGAAAACAAGACGCCCAAACGGTACTGCAAGCGGAAAAAGCGCGCGTCGTGTTGTATATATGTAGGTATGTATAATCATAAGGTGTAGGTTAAATGTGCCAAGTTTGTGTGTAGATAGCATCGATCAACTAAGAATAGGAGGTCATGCTGAAGATTATACTGATAGCATTTATCAATAAATGAAATTAACATGCAAGTCGTTACCATTTATTCGAAAACCATTTTCGTGAATAAGAGGGAAATGAAATGGGACGGAAAATGTCACAAAGTTCCCAATGGGTCAAAACGGGGCGCCTAGAAGAATGGAGAGCCCTTGCATGAGAAAAACGGCAAAGACTTTGCCGACTAAGAAACGCCTGTGTTATATTCACTACTAATTAACCATCGAAATATAAAATGAAAGATCAGGAACAATAAAAATGGTGCGGCGAATTTCCTTCCAATTGGAACGAGTAATATTCATTATTTTTGATAAATTAGTTTTGATACGGTTGATTTATGCAAGAAATAGTTCATGACAAATACATTACTTGAAATGTTGAAAAAAAACTGCTTAAGGCTGCTTGTACTTTGTAGGTACTGCCTTCAACGCACTTCTACTACCCCATTAGTAAATAAAAAGCTTCAGCCGGCCGTGTTCTACCGAGTGGTTAAGTCAAAAATTTCCACACAAATGAAAACAAAACCTTTCAATCATGCCTAATATGCCATCGAGGCGAAGTTGCAATACGCAAGCCATGCTCCCGCAGTCAGACTATCCGCGCACGCCAATGTCAACTGCCCGCTCGTCCACGTCCACGTCCAGTGCCTACGGCAGTCGTCAGTTGGTCAGTAGGCCTGCCGTACTTACTACTTACTCCAGAGGACAGCGTGTTTAGCCGCGTCCCCCGGAAGGCCAGTCACACACTCACCTCGTTAGTTCCCGACGACCACTCGCCGAAGTCTTCCATGGTGTCAATCAGCTCCTGACAGAACCGCGGGGTGACTAGCGGGAACCAGAACACGTCCGGGCACGGCTGGAACACAGAACCAGAGGGTTATCGGAGAGGAACACGGAACCGCGGGGTGGCCAGCGGGAACCAGAACACGTCCGGACACGGCTGGAACACACAGCCGGAGGGTTATCAAAGAGGAACACACCGCTAGAGGGTTAGCGGAGACGGAAACACACAGCCAGAGTTGGAACAGATAACCAGCGAGTTATCGCAGAGGTGAACATAGAACAGCGGGTTGTCGCAGAGAAAACACATAACCAGCGGGTTATCGCAGAGAAAACACATAACCAGCGGGTTATCGGAGAGGTGGAACGCACGGTCGCACGGTGATGGCGGCGGCACTGACCATCTCGTTCTGGAAGTCCTTGTCGAGCGCCTGGCTGTAGTTGGCGTGCAGGTAGCGCTGCTCCCAGTCCCACCGGTTCTCCGTGATCTGCCACATCTCGTTGAACAGGTGACTCGTCTCGAAACTGTCCACCGACACCAGGTGGCCGAAGTTGGCGCGGTTCGACACGTACATAAACTTGTCCTGAAATAGCAAAACTAAGGTCAAATCGTGTGTGCGTCAAGGGGAGGGGGCATCACTACACAATGCGCTGTGACGACTTGGCATACAATGCATTTGTATTATGATTCATCAGAAGTGACAATTTGTGAGAAGAGAATGTCTAAAGAATCCAGCGGCGTCCTCGGGTACCAAAGGGACAGCGCAGACCGCCGTGCTACCGTACCGCGTTGCGCATGTTCTCGCAGAAGGCCATGTCGGCATCCAGGAGGCCGCTGATGAAGTTGGGCCGCGTCTTGGGGTCGGCGACCACAGAGCGCCGGATCAGGTAGCAGGCCGAGATGTACGGCACGTTCCAGATGCCCCTGCCGCGAAGAAAGGCAGATAACAGTCAGACAGGCTGTAAATAGGGATGAAATAACATAGACAGACCGTAAAGAGGAGCAGAGCGGACAAACAGACGGGTCGGCGAAACGACGGAATTCCTATCTATTCTTGAAGTGACCTGTTTTGTTCCTCGTTGCTATCTCATTCCACCATACGTTTTTCTGATCAGTTCGTTGGCGCAGCGCCCCGCGTTGCGGCGCCATGACTGTGTGCGCACTTCAGCCAGTAGTGGCGGCGCCACTGAGGAGCACACCCCTCGGTCCGCAAAGGGGCGCCACTGGTTTTCAGCCGTGATGGGGCACCGCAGCTCTCACCCCTCATCTCCGCCGGCCGGCGCCGGCTCAGTGTCGGTCATGCAGGCGGTGCGTCACCACCTATCTGTGGTGCTGGTGCTGGTGGTGGTGCTGGCGGCGCTGCTGGTCGGACCAGCGCCGGCCGGCGGCAGCCTCCACCTGCCCAGCAGGGACCTGTGGCGCAAGAGCTCCGTGTGGCGGCTGGTGCAGACGCAGCACGAGTACCCGCAGCACCGGAATGAGTTCACCACGCTCGGCAAGCCGCTGGAGGGCAGCCGGCGCAGAAAGCCGCACAACCCGCACAAGGTCTGTGGTGCGGATTGTTGAAGTGAGCTGTGTTCGTGGTCGGTGAATACTACCGATCGTTAGGGCTTGGGGTGAGGGTAACTGTGGTTTTTCAGTCGTCGCCCCTCTCGAACTCACTTCTGAACTTCCATCAAGATTCGAGACCAACAGTCGGCAATCATGTGCTCATAAAAATGCAATATGCATTATTTAGATTCCATTATCTTCGGCCCAAATGAGTCCCTCGAGTGGGATTATTGGTAGCATAATGCGCCAAAATACCGTGGCGGTCCCTGTTTGTTTGTTGTTTACGGAAGTCTGCGTGATGTTCGATCATCCTCGCGGTCCTTGAGCACGCCTGTGTTCATGCATTATTGTGCCACATCCAGGTGCGGATTGCCCAGTCGTCGCACTACGAGCTGAAGTACACCTTGGGCCGGAAGATAGTGTTCATCTGCGTGGCGCGGGGGAACCCGCGGCCGCAGATCACCTGGTTCAAGGACGGCATCGAGCTGTACGCGCACAACTTCTTCAAGGTGGGTAACATGTCCGGATACGTGGACAGAGGTACAAACAAATGATCAGACAGTGGACAGACCAGACAGTGGAACTGGACACTGGACAAGCTGACGTATATCTACAACATGAACAAAGGACACAAACATGATGCAAACTCTGATGCAAAGACGATTCGAAAACGATGCGGGATAAACTTTGCAAAAAAAAAAAAACGATTCAGTTTTACAGGGTAGCAGACCACTGAGCAAATTAAGCCAATTGGAATACGTTTGAGTTCCACGTTGCCTCTGCTACCCTGTGTTCGTATTTTCGGACCAAACAAGCAATACCTATCACGCCCGTTTCCACCAGGTACACGAATGGCAGATCGGCAAGCGTAAGTTCAAGTCCAAGATGGAGATTGACCCCGCCACGCCGATGGACGTGGGCTTTTACGAGTGTGTCGCCGACAACTACCACTCTGTGGACGTGCGAGGCTTCCGCACCGAATACACCGCCTCGTGAGTACATTCCGCACAGAGTTCACCGCCTCGTGAGTACGCACTTCACCCTTCCACAGCTGTCTACAAATGTGATCCTCCTGTCTCGGGCCTCCAGTTTGGTCTGGATGTGTTCGGACTCTCAGTCCAGACCAGACACTGCCACAGTGCCACGGTAAAAACTAACGAGTATCTCTCCACAGAATTGTACTGGAGTCGCGAGCCGGCTGACAAGAACACCGTCTTGAAAAGGACAGGTAAGGAAGCCGATTGTGTCAACGATAACTTACTTAGACGTCCAACAGGAGCTGTGTTTCTTCATACCGAGCCATCAGGTAACCGTACTTCGCCGAAATTAGTCCGTCCTGTAGCTCAGGTTATGGAGTACCGTTCCCCACGAGTACCCCTGCCAGCGATCGAGTCCGGGTTAGAGTCGCTCTATACATGACAATTGACACCTCCGTCAGGGTTGGCCGGAACACGCCAAACGTGGTCTTATACATTATCTCCGAAGACCAAAATGTAATAAACGTTTTCCGTTTCCCTCACGTCGGCGACTGTTTCCTTTTCAACGGATTACGTTCTTTTTTCGCGTGTCTACAGCTAATGTGTCCTCGGTTCGCCGCTCGTTAACTTAAGCGTTATAAACACTCACCTCAGAGGAATGACTTTTTGCGACAACTATAAAAAAACGCAAAATACTGTCTGTCCATAAGAAAATCGCACCATTTGTGCAGCTGCCATGTTTGATTGTTAGAACTACTGAACTGACGTATGTTCACCGTTTCAGACGAGCGGTGCAGCAGCACAACATGAGAGGCTAGGGGCGACAGGATCGTGTCTCCTCGCTGCTTCCAGACAGACTCATGAGTCGAGCGAGCGTAACTAGGCTGCGCTTACAGTCAGTTACACGGCCTAGCAGAAGAGGGGCAGACATGTCCTAACTCTAATATTGAGCAAGGTGTGAGGGGTGGGATATGGTTCATGGCTGGATATTCTCACATTTACCGACCAGCCAACAGCTATAAGGGTCCAGCAACTGTATTTAATGTCTTACGAGTGTGTGCATCAATTCTGCAGTTAATGACGTGCACTGCAGTTCGTGCAAATATTGTTACTGATCACGCTATGTTGCAATAAATGTATGACAAATGGCAATGAGTTGCGATTTGTGGTCGGTCTGTCAGACGCAGCATCGATTTCAATTTGTAAGCAAAATTACAACTTCACGGGATCACACGATAACAGCTTCCAAACTGTTCAAGGACACGTCTTCTCTCGCCGTGTACTTAATGCGCTGCAAAGACCCAGACCAATACAGTCTGTTCAGACTGGAACAGTCTGCCCCTACAGTCTGGAACAGTCTGTCCAGTCTACCACCGCGCCACTAACCCGCCTCGTCATCCGGCGCCAAAGAGCTCGGAATGAGCCCGTCAAAAAGTCACCCTCAATTTCCAGCCACTTGAATAAGGATTGGGTCAGAGCAGCTTGTTGTTACACGTCATCGCCCTTATCCTGTTTACAAATTAGGACATCGTCTGAGGACAGAGACTGTGCTCTGAGGGCAGCCGGTATGTAGGCATCACAGAGAGTAAAGGCTGAAACAGACTCTTTCAGCGTTCAGGAAATCCCATGCGAGAGCCTATTCAAATACATTATAATTCTTCTCGCATCAATCGCTTGCGATAGGTGCGTGCGATTGATGCGAGCGTGCTTCCATGTATTTGAATAGGCTCTCGCATGCGATTTCCTGACTGCGGAAAGAGTCTGTTTCAGGCTTAACATTAGTCGCATGTCCGGACTCCTTCGGTTAGCGGACAACCGTAGTTCAACTGTCGATGGAGCAATGTTTTCGACATAACGATTCTCTCGATGAATATGCTGGTGCCACCGCGTAGGATTATGACCGTGATGGCTCGTACATTAATCGGAGTAACTAACCTTTATGGCAGGGACGTGGCAATCCAAATCCCAATTCGTTACGAACGCAAGCCTCGTTGTGAGGGACAAAAATAAGAAATAAACCGAAGGAATGAAATAAAGCTAGATGAAAAGCAATGGAACAAGATGGGGTCAAACAGAATGGGACGGGGAAGGAACTGGCCGGGCACAGCCAGAACCCTCCAGAACAGACCGGATCGTCATCACAAACCACCGCCAGTACGCCCGGGCCAGCCCGCAGCGCGGCCGGCGAGTGACGCCACAACGAACGAGGAAGTCGACAATCGCCGCTATTGGCGCTCAATTGAGCTGCTGAGGCGGACAGCACCGGACGGGACCGGCCTCTCTGATTCAGAAGGGGGGGGGGGCACAGGATACTGTGCGCAGACACGCACGTCTAACCACGTCGGCCTAAGTGCGCTGTGGTATTCGCTACCCCGTCATCGGCTGCGGGTTGCATGTGAGCACTGCAAGGACTGAGGCCTGGTCTGAGGGCTGTATGGTCAATTCCATGCGATCCATCACGCTCCCCCGGCCGGCGCGGTGCTTTGTACTCACGCGCGGCGTCCCTCCACAATATCCATGTAGTCCATGGAGCGCGCGTAGAATCCATCCGAGGTCAGCGATCCCCAGAAGTTGCTCCACGCCTTGTAGGGCCGGACCAGCAGCGGCGCCACGATATCCCTGTGGGCACACGGTAATGTGACTCAAGTTGTACCACGGTCCCATGTGGTCTAGTGGCTAGGATATCTGGCTTTCACCCAGAAGGCCCGGGTTCGATTCCCGGCATGGGAGGTCTTTTCGTGTTTATTCTGAAAATAAATATCAGGTACCCACGCCCCATTGCCAGCCTCAATCTATCAAACAAATGGACGGCATCTAAACAACATTTCCTAGCCTCCCATCAGCGTAGCGTCAGCGGATTCATCTCCACGTCAATGAGCTTCACACTTCAGCAAATAAAGAATTATTAAATTTACATATTTCCACTCCTCCAGGCAGCGGCCCAACTCGGATTATCATAATCATATGACGCGCGAGAAGAGATGGGATAAGCGGATGCTGTAAAACGCCTGGGAGGCAGGCTGTGCCGCAATGCTATCGAGCGGTGACGCCTCGTACTTTTAGTTACATTTACGTCCATAGGTGGCAGCACGTGTTTACGCCCGAAAGTATACTGCACCGCAAGACAGGAATGAAACATCTTGGCAATGTGGCATATTGGAACTCACTTGATGCTCATTCTTATCGAAGTGAACTTCTTAAAAGTTATCGATTAACCGCGAAAGGCCGCACTGTATAAAATTTAAGTGGCTTCATAAAATTTGGACACAGCCCGTGGCTGGGCCCTGGCCAACCAACTTCGGTTCCACCTTACCTGTTTTGTTCTCCAGCTCGTGCTCCAACTCACCTGTTTTGTTCGATGAGCAGTTTGAGGGCGTACGGATTGTCCAGGTGGGCGTTGGCGTCCACGGTGAAATAGTACTCGGCCTTGGTCTTCAGGAACTCCTCACTGAAACGGCGAGCGGAGACCGGTCAGTTGCACGAGCGACGATCACCGCAATCACAAATAGACATGAAAATGGATGCATACACCTACTGGGAGCGAATAACGTCAAACTGATCACTGATAGCAAGTGTTAATGACAAAAAAACATGATCATGGACATCAACGGGTAGCGAATGACAGCATCAACACCCCACACAGTACATTCAATCAGCTATATAGGGATCCAAATTCTATCGAATAACTAGTCAAATAATGCCACAGAGCAAACCTACTCACACGAATTGGCCTAATACTCATTCCACACGATTGCTCTCACTTCTTTCTGTCAATGAAAAGTTTACTCATAACTCAAATAAATTCAAATAAAACAACTCACACATACCCATGATTCCGAACAATTCCCCACACACATTCCCGAGTTTGACACACTCCCGATACGAGTTGGTTCACTCACATGCCGCGGTTCCTGGCGTGCCACTCCTTCAGATTCTGCTCGTCACTGACCACGGTCACCGAGGCGTACTCAGGGCCGTGCTTTTCGACAAACGCTGCCACCTCCTTGGCGTGGTAAGCCACCGCGTTGTGGATGTACAGGTGCAGCTTGTCCTTGGGGTAGTGCAGCGCCAGGATCTTGGTGAAGAACTCCTCGGTGAAGGGCGTGGCCTGCTCCAGGAAGATGGCCATGAACACTGATGGGTACTTGTCCATCTGGGAAGCACAAAGAGACGTGGTGTCAGGGCAGTGTTAGGGCACAAATAAGTGTACAGAAATATGACGCCTGGCTTTGTCATTTTGATCTCTGGGACCACAGACCTTTGTATACCCTGGGACGGAAATAAAATGTGACGAAAAAGCCCCGGGAGACGGGAGGGCAGACGCATCATCATTCGACAGTCGTCACCTATCTTGTTTACGGAAGGGATTGAAAGTGGTCGGGATGATCGAATCCGCTCCGTAATAGCACCAGAACTGCTGAAGAGCGACGCCACCTACATACGGATAAATACTAACAGCGCCGCCACGCAACTATAAATCGGCCACTACAGCGACAGACTAATGCCGCCATCACGTCTTTCCTCATTCCTGCAATGACGTTAAATATGTTGCACATCCATGAGTGGTGCATAAATCAGGTGCTGGATAAATCGTTATCATAATAATTTCTATTGGTAGCATAGACCGTAAAGCAACGGTTCGACCAACCAGCTAACAGTCACACACTGTCCGATGAGTTACTAGGTCGAGCGCAAACTAGTGAGTCCCACCGCGCAGTGGGTTATAAAGCCAACTATCCTGTGGAGTGTGAACCGACCAGCGACTCAGAACCTCGTCTCGCCGTGCGCACCCACCTTGTCTCCGAGCTCGATCTGGTCCTCCCAGCAGGCCACGCAGCCCGTCTCGGGGTTGTAGGCGCCCGCCAGGTAACTGCCCAGCGTGTTGAGCACCAGTTTAGAGACGCCGTTACCGTGGATCACCAGCGGCACCGTGTTGTAGGCCGTGTTCTGCAGGTACGCGTCGGAGCCCTTGAAACGCAGCTCCACGTCGGCTGGCGACACACAGGTCGGTGAGAGGTCAGTAACAGGTTAGGCTCCAGCGATACCGACACAGTGGAGGAGAACAAGGTAATATAAACATATATGTGATGACCGGAGAAAAAAATACTCAACGCAAATTGCGCTAGCTAAAGCTCGTAATACGACATGCAACATTTGATAACACATACGTTCGCACAGCTCCACCCCGTTACCCCAGTACCTATAGCTACTGACCGGTGGCGCCGTTGAGGTTCTGGAAAATGGTGGCCGTGTAGTCGAGCTTGATGTCGAACTTCTGCCGGAGCGCCTTGTCCAGGAATATTTTCGTGTAGTAAAGCTGATCGTCGCCACCATCTTCAATTGCTTTATGAGTGACGATTTCGTACAGCTCCGGAGCGTAACCGATGAACGCTGGAAGCAGAACGGAGAGGCCGGTGAGTTGAGGTTTTGGGGTGCCCGGAGTGTGGAGGTCATCGGCGTCCAATAGTTAGAGCACCACGCTGTATGATGAACACAATATACTACAAAGTTGGCGTTGGAAAGTAGTAAAGCACTGCCAAATGCGATAAAGTTTACATAAAGGTGGATTAAAACAGCAGAGCCAACAAAATGCAACACTAACAGCTGTTCACACCCCACCCAACATTAGACAAAGCGCGCCTGGCGCAGCCCCCGCCGTACCTCCCGAGTTGAGGTAGGGTTTGCCCTTCTCGGGCACCGGGTACTCAGAGGCTAGCGTCGCGTCCGGCCAGCAGAATCCCTCGGTCGAGAACACAACGCGTGCCTTCAGCGCCAAGAACGCCGCCACAATCTGAGAGGCCGGCGCGTTGATGACGACGTCGTAGGCGTCGGTGAACATGATGATCTTGTTCTTGTCGTCCTTGTACTTGGCCAGCGCAGCTTTGAGGATGTTGATCTTGTGTCCGCCGCCGGCGAACCGCTTCACGTCCCCGCCGCGCCACTCCTCGCCCATACCGAGCACCTGCGGCGGATGGTCCAGGTCAGTGGATTCAGAGGTCAGTGGCGCCACACACACAGGTCAGAGTGGAGAGGAACAGCGCCATACGGCAACAGCTCAGCGGACACAGCGGTCAGTAGCGCCACTGCTCGCCCATGAAACCGAGCACCTGCGGCGGACGGAATCAATCAGTGGATTCAGAGGTCAGTGGCACCACACTTCACAGGCTAGATAAGCAGAGGTTAGAGGCACAGAACTCTGGACTCAGCTGGTCAGCACAGTCCACCTTCTCCCCGGTTGATGTGAGCACTAAAATTAAGAGCTTTTTGCTATTTCAGGCTGGTAAAAAGAGCATATTCATACGATTAAATCGTCAATTAATTACACTGTGGGCGATAACACGGACCCGTAACCGCTGTGAGATCACAGGATGACCGGATACCAGCTGCCGGAGGAGGGGAAGAGGGGAGGAGGGGGAGGGGCGTCCTGACCAGGTCACTGAATAAACACGTCAGCGCCAGCGCACCGTCCGTCTCGCCATGCTAGCAGCCGCACTGTAAACACGACATACCGGAACTGCTGGGAGTCCAGTGAGCCCGTAAAAATAACGAAACCGGGGTTCGTGAGCCAGCACAGATGTGGCTCAGAGCCCTGTGAGCCAGCCCATAACCTACAGTGTCCACTGGAACTCCAGCTCCAAGTCTGTGAGCCAGCACGTATCATTTGCTCCGCGCCCCAGCCCAATGCCCATACTTCATTTTCGTGAGTCAGCTGAGTCAGCTCATGACTCAAAGTCCCGTAAGACAGTCCCTTGGTTCAGAAACTCCGCAGACAACATTGCGCAGACGCGTTGGTAAAGTGCAGAGTGCAGATAACCCTCATTCAATAACAGCAGCGGAGATGCTAGGCGGCGGGCTAATCAGCCATATTCACAGCCTACCTTGACGGGGATGTCGTACTGTTTCGCTGAGCGGGCGTAGCGTTTGAATCCATCCGTCTCGTCTGTGGCGACCGTAATGGCAAGAAAATCTGTGGACAGAGACACAACGCGGCGTTAACCCTCGCCCGACGAGGGCCTTTTCTATAACACGGACGGCGGGGGGGGGGGGTTGGTACGACCCCCCCCCCTGGCGATTGGCTCCTATGGCACTTAGAAACACCAAATTTACAGGGTAGATGGGTCTATGGGAGGTCTCGCCCCTGTGCAAATTTGGTTGCTCTAGGTCAATATTTAGGGGGGTTTTGGGGGGTATAAGTGTAAAAATTTTGCTAAAACAGGCCAAAAGTTTTTCGCTTATAACTTTTGATCTAATAAAGATTGAGCAAAAAGAAAAGCACCAGTGAACTCAGCACGTCAAGGCGCGTCGAATGATATACTTGTTTGCTTGCTTAAGTGTACTTAAAAAGTTAAGCACATCTTAAGTACATCTTAAGTCTTAAGAATGGTCGAAATGCTTAATGTTGCATATCATTCGACTCGGCTGTTCAAGAAGAACAGAATGATGCCATTTTGAAAGCTGTATCTTTATTGTGTGACAAGTTATTGGCACAAACGTCATTTGACCTCAGTTGACCTCATTTGACCTGACCCATGGATAAGTACACCAAACAAAGAAGCACCAAGTGACATAATGTTAAGTCTGTTGTTTCAAAGCACTAAAGTGATAGAACGAAGCGGATATCGCCAGTATTTTCCGAATTGAATATTTTCCCATAGGCTTAACATTACGACGTAATGACCTCTAACTGACCTCAGGTCAGTGACATGAAAAAACGGAATATATGTTATACAACTCGGTGAACTTAGGACATCCTGAAAGTTTGAAGGAAATCAGCCAAAAACTGTGAGTTGGACAGGTGCATAAAGAAAATTGAAATTTGACCATGACCTTGTACCGGTTTTTCTGATCTGGTGACCTGACCTGAAACGGCAGAGACCTGAAAGTTTCAGGGAAGGTGCCAAAAGGTTGCCCCAGAGGGTATGCCAAATTGTAGCGCCGCCGTTTTTACGTTATTTGCGAAAAACCTTAGGGGGGGTTGCATCACCCCCCCCCCCTCGTCGGGCGAGGTAATTTTATAGTCACCGTGGTAATTACGAACGGTGGACAGGGAGCGTCCTAACACCAGTAATTGTCACTGGGCGGTGACGGAACAGTGGTGGTGCGGGAGAAACAGGACGACAGTCAAACCAGAATGTGAAGGTACAGATAAATAATAACATAGAATGTGGCGGTGGGGACGAGATGATCAACGATACAACAAACCGTACCATTTTAGCACAGGCAGAACACGGATCTGATAACTGAGAAATGTCGCCGGACGGGTTGTGGACGGCACATCACAGGGAAAGGCTGGGAGCTAGAGTAATCCCAGACATAGAGCAGCCAGCCGGGTGATCAGACTAGACAGGAGGCGAGATATGAGCTGGATGCTTCGGCCGAGCAATTATCTAACGGCAGGCTGACTCCACTGCTAAAAAAAAAATAATCCCCATAACTAGTTTCGGGTGCAGTTTTGAAGCTCTCTTGTAGGCACGGAAAATGCGTTCCAAGGAGGAGATTGTTTCGTTGGTGATCATTATAAATGTTTCTTCCATAGATGTTCCCGCTAAAGGCTTAATAAAAACGACTTAAGCAGCCAGCTTGGACATAACGTGTAAGCAGGCTAAAAAAAAAACAGTTGCAGTAGACGGCGACATGAAATAATTTTCCTGGGGAAAAAATCGTTTGTGAGAACGGCGATCGACATTCAGCGCTCCATCTCCACCTGTTTCCTGTGGGACTGCTATAGCCCTCTCCTCTGTGGACTTTGGGGTCATAGCCCGCTTTTTGGGTGCCGACTCGTACCAGGCCATCGCCTCGGTGCCTGCAGCTGCCCTCTCCCTGTCGGACCAGCGTTCAGGACACGGCATCCCGCAGCACCAAGCCCGCTCATGCAGCACGAAGCCAGAGTATCCGTCTCCGAACACCGGCTGTTCAAACACGTCTGGTGGAGAGCCGGACGTCCCGCTAAAACCGTGTCATCGGGATTATTATATAAACACCGCCCCGGCAGGATGAGTTCATAACAGAGCAGCTTTCGCTGGCTACCAAGACCGCATTGCAATAACTTCGAACTGAAATTCCAACGCCTGATGTTCTAAACGACTGACGTGAAGTGAAAATCAGAAGCATGTCAGATTCAGCGTTTTGCGCTTAACGCTCTGCGAGTTCTTCGAACCAATATAAAGGTAAAGTTTACCCATGCTGACTGGATTATGGGTAGGTTTGAGTAGCAACAGGTGAACGCCGCCGTCTCAGTCTTTATCAGTTTCCACTGATAAAAATGATGAAAAGCTTATTGTTTCGAGGTTAAGCAAATACTGATGTGTTTTATCATTCAAAACTCAGACCAGCAACATGATCCCAGAGCTACACAGTGCACACAGCAACAAGCGCTCAGCGACCGTGTTTGAAAAGTGTGGAAAACCGGCAGCTCCAGTCTGTCCCGCCGGTGCAGTGACTCCAGTGAGACGTGAGACGGCGGCGGCGGTGGTAGCGGCGGCGGCTGTGCCGCGGGCGGCGCCTGCGGTCACCGACCGACGCCGGCGGCTGACGTAACGCACCAGCTGGCCGCAGCGGCGCCCGCCGCCCCGCACGGCCCTGCACGTGGGCGGGTGTCGGTCCAGAGTCGGGGAGGGTATGCCGCTGCAGGGCAAACACCGCAGAAGTCGGTCGGCTGGAGGGGAGGGATGGCCGGCCGGAGGGGAGGGGGAGGGGGCGTGTCGTTCGCACGGAGTCACCGAGCCGCGCGGGCGGGCGATGACTCGAGGTGCCTGAGCCTGACGCAATCACATGCGGTGGACGGAATACGTTGGGCTGTAGATGTTGCCACTGGGCAGGGTTGTAGAGAGGCGGTGGACGGAAAACGTGAACGTGAAAACGGAGGGGCGATTTCATGTTGGGCGATGGCCGATGGATGCAGGGATCCGAGTCTGCTATCTGTATCTCAATTATTTCCACCACGCGACGGACCACGGTCCACGATGCTCGTTTTCGGCCACTGGCATCCAACCAGCCAGTCACCCAAGCATCCTGTCACCCAGCCGAGCAGAGGAAGTCATCCAACGTTGAGCGGCTCTCCAGACGTGTTCCCCAGCGGAGCTGGGCCGGACCGGTCGTACCGAGCAGACGTGGCAAACAGCCACCGCCACAGAGACAGTTATCAGGCGGTGGATCCTGATACCGGCACCGGCCGACGGACGGAGAAGAGTCGCCCCACCGGACCAGCGCCGTGCTTTGAGTGTTGCAGCCTGATGACATCAGCAAGTGCAGGTTCGGCGATCCGGTTTGGGTCTAACGAGGCGGCCGTGACAGCAGACGGGTGTCAGACCTTGGTCAGAGCGACACATCGAGAGATGCCCGGCTGTCCGTGGTTCGTACTCCGTACCATTGCCGGTGCCCGACAGTCTATTGATTCCAATTGGATTCAACATGCATTGTGCGCTGCAGTGATGGTAGATTTACCCGACCGGTTAGAGCGCTGTTGCGGTAGTGGGTTTACCAGAACTCTATAAGTAGAATGGTTAATTGACTCAAACCGGGCGCTGTACGTACTGATAAAATGACTTCCACTGGATCCTGCAACGTAGATTGACCCGAGCCGCATTATGTCGTGGTTAATTGGCCGTGACTGGTCAGCCAGGCAATGTTTTGCGTAGATTTCTAACATCGACAATAGTACCGAAAAGGCACCGAAGGCAGCAACTATACCTGCCACCCACCGCCAACAGTACCAGAGCCGGAAATGGTCCCGCTACTGGTAAGGGTACCGAAAGTTACTGGTACCGGTTCCGATGCTTGTTTCGGTTCAATAAGGGTGGAAAACCCGTACAAAATTCCTTCATCGGCCGTCTGCCGTTGATCCACATGTCTTCATGCACTCCAGTCCGGTAACCCGTTCATCACGTCCCGGCCGGTCGCTCCGGACGGCCCAGCTCGGACCCGTCCCCGCTCTCAGGGGGGGGGGGGGTCAGTCAGTGGTCACCAGACCGGTTCAGCAAATCAGCAGCCGCTCCGGTCGGCCCCGGCCCCGGCCGTCACCGGCGCCTCTGCTCGTCACCGCGGTCACAGGAGCCCCTTATTCACCTCTGCCGGACAGTGGTCATACATTGGACGGCCGGACCCCGAGCTGAATCGATTTCACGCATCTTGGGCCAAACATAACGGATAGTCATGCCACCGGGCTACAGGTCGACGGTCAGTGTACCGCTCCGTGCCATAGGTCAGTGCCCGGTGTACCGCCGAACGTCAAAGGCTGGAGGTCGGCGTAGGTACCGCTCCGTGTCCGTGTCACATGCCAACAGCAGTGGTGTACCGCTGTGTCACGGAACTACAGCTGCCTCAATGGCACGGTGAGGTGTCCGCCCATCAGTACCTCACGTCCAGCAATGAAGCCGATACTGCACCGGTGCTCCTGCCGAGTAGCGCGGCGTTGAAATGCGACCCACTTACATGTGTCATACGACACCAGTCGAGACGGCGGGGACGGCCACACGCCGCCACAGGCGTCGGCACTGCGGTACACATCATCATCAGACTGGGCGGGCACTCGATTCAAATGTCCGAAAGGAAGACAAAGGCAGACAAACAAGGGGCCGAGATCATGTCACAGATCTACGATTGTGTCCCTTCTTTTTATAACGTCTTTACTACCACAACATCGAAGCGCACGCGACCTTCCTTATTGTAATAGAGCATGACATAAAAACCAGAAAAGCCACTTTGATAGTAGATCAGCGGAAGACCATAATGACACCGGTTTCCTAATACGGCTCCCGAATGACATAACCATACTACAACTACGGTTAACAGGGGACACGTAAAGTTTACGGGAGCATTTCGAAGCAAGATATTGATGAGATATCGATCTAGGATGCCTCAATGAAGTAAACTAACTCCCCACTGACCGTGACCCCACGTAGCTTATGAGCATGACGAACAGCGCAAAATGCTATGAAATATGAGTTCAGTAATCAGTTCATCTATATTTTGAATCATAAAGCATCAGTTATCAATATCGACAGGCAACACATTACAAATGTTTAGTGCCCTAATTGTTATAAGCCTAGTCACTCAGTAGTCAGTAGTCACCGATCTGTTGTTGACGAGCTTTGAGCTTTCGAATTTTTACCCCGGAAGATGGCCCTTTTGGATCCCAATAAGCAGCATAAATCATGCATGTGCAATATGTGCATGTTAAGGACTGATGAGGACTCGGCGCCTCCCGACCCGGCCCCCGGTCGATGAACTTCAGACGGCCGGCCGAGCCGGCACGGTCGCGGCGGAACGTCCTAACGGTCTGCCGCGGAGACGGTCGGGAGGGGAGACGCACCGCCACCGGCCGCCCACTCCGAGCCGACAATAAAGCAGCCAGCCGTCATCACTCACCCACACATAACCATCACGGTAATGCGGCTACAGCATCGTCATAAGATGCAGTCACAATACAGCCTGTCAGCCACGCGGCCTTTTGAGAACTTGTCCCGCCAACAGGCGACCCAAGACTGTGTGTGATCGGAACAACACACCACGCCCAATGAAGAAATGTAAATAAATGCATGCAATATCATCAAATGTCCCAGAACTTACCGTGCTCATCAGCCGATGTTGAAGTACTGGCAGACAGGAAGAAACACAAAACAGTAACAGCTAGTATTTCCGTTGCTCTCTGTCTCATCTTGCTACCGTCGATCTTGAACTACTGTGGCAAAGTCTTGTTAATTGACCGAGGTTAAGGCCCTTGGGCCAGTTTCACTCAGCTCCAGCCAAGCTCCAGCGACCGCCGAAATGACAGAAATCACAGCACCACTTTGCAAAACAACCTCACCGTCGCTGGCGACGCGCCGACGTCGATGGTCGATGCGACTCGGCCGAAAAGTGAGCCACAGTTCGGAGCCGCTGCGCCAGAAACGGTCACCCGATAGGCAGGCGTCAGCTGATAGTAAACAAAGCAGCTAGCGACATCAGGCGGCCGGTATACAAACTACTACTTCGGCCTCCGGTCGATGATCCCGGAAGAAATAGAGCAGCCAGTTTTCTTCGAAATGAAACCCGGACAGCATGGATAGCATGGTATGGAAGACGCAATAAAGTTTGGGGTAATTATTAGTTACAAGGCATTAATCTCGAGCGCCAAGCTTCGCGCGAATGTTATGTCATATGTTGACATGTCTCCCGACGAATTATTTTTTGCCTTTCACCTGACCATTTGCAGCTTATAGCCAAAGTAGTCGTAAACTTCGCTAGTAGAGCGTCGCATACATTTTGGCTTGCAGGCCTGCAGGGGTTGGTCAAAAGAATGCGCGCCGCAGAGATTTTGGACATTCATTTTCCAACTCCGGCTCCCACTGAGAGACAAATGTCACAGCGGCTTCGGATCAGGACAGAGAAGATACCGGCTCCTGCCCAAGGCCATGCGACCCGGACGAAGACTCAAAAAGGCAGAAACTTACCATCCCGCTAACCGTTCAATGAGTGATATCGATAATTTATGGTTGCCCCGATTAGGCCCTAGTTTCTAACAGGGAAAGAAAAAACCTTTGTAAAAAGGGATACAATAAAGTCCCGACGGTAAGTATCCAATCCAAACACTCCTAACTGAGATCTGAAACATGGCTGGCGAATAGTTTTTTAGCTTTAATGATGATAATCGTTTGCAATTTCCGAAGTCGTACATTTATTTCACCTAAAAAAAGGCAATATTTCATCATCAGTTCGCCATTCGAACCGCTATCGTGTGGCGGTATACGAAGTTTATTTCACACTGAATTATGTTGCATCTCTCAGATCCGGAGCCCAAAGATTTCGGGCTCCGAAACCTCAGTTTCAGTTTCGAGGGCTGAAGGGTCCCTGATTTTTACGTTTCACACCTCAGCGATCAGGTTATGCGCCAAGCATTTGGACCGCGGCTACGGCTAGCGCTGAATTTGGGCAGCATGCTTCGACTCCAGCTCCGCAGTCGTATCCATGGTAAATTCACTTCTTTTCACGTCACTCGACTATCTTATTAGGTTTGCTCTTCCGTATCAGTATTCGCGAAAGACCGTATAGTGTTGCTCAAAGACAACCCCTCCGGGATTGATGCAGGTACTGAGGTGAGGGTCAGAGGTCAGGGGGTCAGTGGGGCTCCGGAACTCCCTGTACCGACAGTCGGTCGGTGCGGAACCTCTCAGAGACGGGCGGGCCGGCGCCGGGAAGCCGTACACGGGGACGGCGGCCGGTGACGCGTCCGATCCCATTACGGGCAGCCGTAGCGCGGCGGCCCGAGCGGCGGCCGGCCCAGATCGACCGTCGAGCAGCGGCCGCCAGCAGCCGACATGAGCTCCAAGGACCCCGAGCTGGATAAGCTCAAGAAGGAGCTGGACACCATCATCGAGTCCATCAAGGTGGGTCACCGCTGGAGCAGGGAAAGGGCAGTCCTGAGGGATAGGGGTAGGTCGGAGCCAGAAGGGCAGTTCAGAGGGCTAAAGGGTCCCGTCAGAGACAGGTCAGTCCTCCGGGGGGCAGGGTCTTGGCTGGAGACAGGACAGTCCCGAAAAGGATAGAGATCCGAATGAAGACGAGTCACAGAACAGCCCTGATAGGGCAGGATGCCCAATAACCACCGCAGGTCGGAGACAAAAAGACGGCCCCGATGAGATGTCTGCGACGTGATGGGGCACAAGAGCGGCTGGAGGGACTCGCGTCTGTCTTGAACCTCCCTGCACTCGACTCGAGCATTGACCGCGAAATTTTAATTTGTGGCCAATAACTGCCGTTCAAATTGAGTTAGCGAGTCAAAAAAGGATCAGTGAGCTCAGACCGAGCAAATGCATTATAAAGTTTTCTAAAATAGGTACGATATTAGTCATTAGTCAGCTCATCGCTGGTTCTATGCCGTTAACTGTTTTGTCATTCGCATACATTGATCGTCAAAATTGTCGATCATTGAGATCGTCGACACCAATTCGACGACAAATACACAATGTCGTACAAAATCAATGTACTCACCACCAGCAGCGGAGGGACAGGGCGCAGTCTGAGGACACGACTCGGTCTCGGCCCAGCCGGTTCCACTCAGACCCAGGCACACCAGCAGGATCGCTCGCAGAGGGGCCGCCATCCTCACCAGCCTTCCAACCTCGCTGGCGCCCTGACAGTGGCGGACTGAGTGTCCGGCCCGACCGGTCGCCCTCCACACCGCCGCCCGAGGAACGGTCACGACGCGACCCCGTCACGATCGCACCGATTTTGGGACGCTCCGTGACGCCGCTGCACGCGCAGACTCGGAGACACTGAGCGTCACGGAGACGGTGTAACGGTGGCGTCACGGACGCATCACGAGGACACACGCATGACAGTGACTGTCACATAAAAATGCATTAGGTTGTACAGTAAATGTACATCGTGTGTGGCAGATAATCAAAAATCACACAAAACACATCAACACAAACAAGGTCATATTCATCCATCCATCCATCCATCCATCCATCCATCCATCCATCCATCCATCCATCCATCCATCCATCCATCCATCCATCCATCCATCCATCCATCCATCCATCCATCCATCCATCCATCCATCCATCCATCCATCCATCCATCCATCCATCCATCCATCCATCCATCCATCCATCCATCCATCCATCCATCCATCCATCCATCCATCCATCCATCCATCCATCCATCCATCCATCCATCCATCCATCCATCCATCCATCCATCCATCCATCCATCCATCCATCCATCCATTCATTCATTCATTCATTCATTCATTCATTCATTCATTCATTCATTCATTCATTCATTCATTCATTGGTGAGTATATTCACCAGGAGGGCATGCTGTTCCTCCTTACTGCTCCTCCGTTTCAGGCGGCTCAGAAGAAGGGCGCCGACGCTGACCTCGTGGGCACGTGTGCTGACGTGGCCGACGCGCCGCGGATTCACTCCTCGTGTCGGCGCGTCCTCAAAGGGCACATCAACAAAGTGAACGGCGTCCACTACAGCGGCGACAGCAGGTCAGTGCGCCTAATAGACGGCAGGTCAGAGTGTGTGTAGTGACGGCAGGTCAGTAATAGACGGCAGTTCAGTGTACAGTCTGTCTTAAAAGTACCGCGCAAAGTGACGGTGGATCCATCAAGCCTGACCGAGGAAGGGCCTGCTATAATTTGAAAGTCACCGAACCAATGGAGCTGGGGAATGGACGAGGATGTCCATTGCTTCGGTGACTCAAATTTGGCAGTCCTTCATCGGTCAGGCTTGATGGATCCACCGTCACTTTGCGCGGTACTTTTAAGACAGACTGTACCTATAGTATAGACGGCAGGTTAGTAAAATGGGCGGCAGGTCAGTTAAAAACGGCAGGTAAGTGGCAAGGTAAGCAATGACAGCAGATCAATGACAGTCGGTAGATCAACTGGCAAACAGCATGTCAAAGCGACAGCGACAGCAATCAGCTCAGGGCTCAGGGGCTTGTAGATCAGCGGCTGACGCTTTGTGTTCCGTACCATTGTTTATCACTCACGTGCATGACCTTTTGATAACGAGCGCCTCTCGTGATAAAGCGAACAGCAACAATCAATATCCTGACGATTATGACAGAACAACAAAGACGTATGCAAACTCAATTAACTAGTTTAAAACGTCTGTGATGGCTATATCAGATACATCGTAATGCAGAGCCGAAGTTTAATGCTCGGCTATTTATCGCTTATAAGTTATAGGAAGTACTTAACGTTATTTGCATCTGTGATTCATTTAGTAGTCCCTCTGCGTCCTGCGACCAACAATCAGTGTGCTTGTACACTTAATCGATCGTTACCCTCACCCCTACTCCGAGGTTGTTGTGACTTGTGACCTGACCATCTGACGTCTTCCTTTCTCCCTTGCGTTGTTGCAGACATGCAGTCAGCGGTTCACTGGATGGAAAGCTCATCATCTGGGACACATGGACAGGCAACAAGACGCAAATCATTCCGCTGCGGTCCGCCTGGGTGATGGCCACCGCCTTCGCGCCGTCCGGGAACTTCATAGGTGGGTTATTGTGAGCACAGGCCAGGCTCAATCGCTCTACAGAAGCTCCCCCGCCCCGCCGAGCCGGACCGCCGAGCTCTGCTCCCTTTCTGGGCCGACTTTCAGTCAGGCTTGCCGTTACGCGTGGTCTGTAGGCATCACGCGTCTCCGGCTTTCCACTGAGAGTGCAGAGCGGCAGCCCGGAACTGGTGGCACGACCCGGTAAGGTCGTGAGCTCCGGTCGGTAGGTCCGGTGCCGTGTGCGGGCCGGCACTGTCACGGTGTGCTCGGCTAAGGACTCAGACCTATGTAGACATGTGCTTAGCATAATGAGCGCTTGTTCGGCTTCTGAACGATCAGGATGCGTCGCAGGATAGACAAGGCGGCGAATATTAAAATACGAATGTGTTCAGCTCACGCGTCCTGCAAGTAGAGATCATAGTAAGGGCAGGGTGTTATATTGTTACGGAAACCCTGCGGGATTGGCGACTCCTCTCCGTGTCCTACAGCCAATGACGGCGTCCCGTCTGATGTTACTGCCCGACAAACGGTGACGTCTTCCCGTGCCCGACAGCCAGCGGCGGCATGGACAACCAGGTGACGATCCATGACCTCAACAACCGCGACAGCAACGGCCAGGCCAAGGTGATCCGCGAGATCAGCGCGTTCGAGGGCTTCCTCAGCTGTGCGCGCTTCCTCAGCGACAGCCAGATCGTCACAGGATCGGCGGACATGAAAATGTACGTGTAGTGGGACCGGGGACGCAGTGGAGCGCAGGCCAGGCTTGATCAGCCGCCGTGGCACACCGCGACGGGTAGGAAACATCGGCAGCTACCTCCGAAATTGAAATCCACTGTGCACCTCTCATTTCTGAAGCTCTGGAACTCACGGTAATTAACATAATCTGCGAGAATGGAGAATATCTGCGCACATGCATTCTGTGAATTGTAGCAAACATAAAAAGACGTGATTTATTTAACATTTGATGTCATGCACTGTGTTATATTTGACCAGTGCACCTAATCCCATTGCAATAGGCTGTGGTTGACCGGTGCGCGGCGGCGCATCTCTGCAGTGTGCTGTTTGACCAGTGCCCCCTCCAGCCTCCTCCGATTGCAAAAAGTTGTGGTTGACTGAACCCCCTCCCCCTCGCTGCAGTGTGCTGTGGGACGTGCAGGTCGGTAAGAACCTGGGCGAGTTCAACGGCCACGAGGGTGACGTGGTGACGCTCTCCATCAACGCCGATGCGACGCTGTTCGTGACGGGCAGCGTGGACCGCACGGCCAAACTGTGGGACGTGCGCACCCCCGGCTGGTCAGCGCAGCAGACCTTCTGGGGCCACGAGAGCGACGTCAACTCGGTCTGCGTGAGTCAATGACGGACAGCCAATATAAGTCACACATCGGCAACTTAGTCAGTTGACAAGTAAGGTAATAACCAGTAAGGATGTCCAGTTATAGCGTCATATGCTTGCTCTCCTTTAAATCCATTCGTCACCCTGCCTGGTCCCCGGATCGCATACAGCCACCCCGTCATTCTGTCTCAAGAATTCTGCAAATGCAAATATCTGTCAGCTAACACCTCCACCACTGCCCCCTTCCAGTTCCACCCATCTGGTCACGCGTTCGCCACGTGCTCCGAGGACAAGACGACGCGCCTGTTTGACCTGCGCGCCGACCAGCAGCTGGCCCAGTACGCGCCGCCCACGCCCAACTCGGCGTTCACGTGCTGCGGCCTGTCGCGCTCCGGCCGGCTGGCGCTGGCCGGATCTGACGACAACACCGTGCACATCTGGGACACGCTCAAGGCACAGCACCTCGGTACGGTGTATTTTTCTCGTAAATTTTGTAAAAATGTCACTTGCCACTTGTCAAATGTTTCACGTTCCTTAGCTTCTTCAGTTACTTCGAGGCCGCACCTTAACTCAGAAAAAAAAACGTTAATGTTCGAGCTAGTTACACAAGCTGAAGGATTGCTGGGACCTATGATGGTGCAATAACTATCAAATCTTGCTCTCAGGTTTCCTAAATAGGTACATATGTCATCAACGGTTAGGTAAAGTTCGTCATCTTATGTCTCATCTGTGATCTGACTAATGTCTGTCGCGTGCTGTTGACAGGTAACCTGGCCGGCCACGAGGGGCGCATCACATCCCTGAGCGTGGCGGAGAGCGGCGTGGGCTTCTGTACCACCTCCTGGGACACGACAGTGCGAGTCTGGTACTGAACAGTCTCCTAAAGCGGAGTGACGCTTCGTCCACACGGGCGACTGGCGCCATCGGCCCATATGGAGCTGAGCGTGCCCATCACGCTGCTTCACAAACGTTCTGGACAACACACGGAGCCAGACGACTATTTACACACCAGTCTGGTTAACACATGCTACCGGCATATGTCAGCAGCTAAGGAAGCCAGAGGCTGAATTACGTCTGCCGATTGTGTGTAAACTGGACGGTGTGGTTCTAGGGAGGCCAGCAGCCAGCTGTCGGTCCCCAGGTCTCCACAGAGACTAGGTTCAGATGTTCATATGGATGCCGATTTGTGGCAGGATCGGAAGACATTGGTTGTTGAGATCGGCGTCATTCAGCCATTTTAATCTGCGGAACGGATAGGCGGACGGCTGCCTACATAACCTGCTGGGCGGTGAAGGTGCACGCCCCCCTATATACGCTGTTGATCACCATGTCGACAGGTGCCTCGTTCCAGTAATACAAAGAACCAAAGATACAGTGTTTGAATTCCAGCGTGTTCCCAATGCGTAACATCTCAATCTAGGTAGTTTACATTTACAAGTTGTTACACCCTAATGCTCCAATTTGTGTAACTGCGAGCCATGAGTTATAAACTAAAGCTGTCTGTATAAACTAAAAACAAAGCTGTACTGTCCAGACAATCACCAGATTTGCACAGATCTATCACAAACGAGCGTGTGTTCAGTGTGGAGAATCATTTATATTATACCAGAAAAAAATCAAATAGGCATATGCATTAAGTGAGCAACGGAAATGTGACAATCCAGTAATGGTTATGACACTCAAATTACTTCAATGTCAGCGAATGGAAGTTTTATGGAAGACGAATGTAATACATCCACCGATAAGAATCAACTCCAGCGTGACCACACACCGCCTTGTACGAACCGATCGCCAGTCAATGTGCTCAGATTAGAGGTTAATGATTGATGTGTGAGGCGGCGGTCAACCCCATTTGGCCTCTGGAGACACGCGAACCCAACAAATCACAGCAGTGACAGCGGCGGCGGCAGCCCAAACCCCAAACCGCGGTCCGCAGCGACGGATAAAACGGACGGCACCAGCAACCACACACCTCCCAGTCTCCGTCCAGCACGGACGGTCAGGAGCGACCCAGGGCGAGGGGAGAAGTACGGAGCGCGGCCCTCAGCTTCGCCGTGCCGCTCGGAGTCAGAGTCGACCCGACTGCCCCGGCGGTCAGCCTCAGACAGGAGAGCGGGAGAGATATCCGCACCGGGGGACTGGAGGATAGAGAGGAGGAGAGCCGCAATCCATCCGCCGCCACCGCCGCCTGTCAGCCACAGCATGATCAACAGCGGACACACACAACGAGTAAAACCACCGGAAACCACTAAAAACACACACCATACCACGGCGAAAACGGTGAGGTCGTGAATGAGAGCCGATGATAACGACATGGGGAGTAAATTACAACCGACGCCTCTGAGTATCGGTTTACTACTAGTCCGTCTCGCAGAGCTCTGCAAGTCATCAAATGAACACATATTAACACACAGTTGGCTGGCGTCTGCTCCCGTTCCGGCAGCCAGACTTGCAGACGCAGCCTTCATGGCCTTCATGGCCTCAATGGCGACAAAGGAGCGGGCAGTGAGAGGCTTACAATCGCTGACCGCTCTTCTCACTATAACAATGATGATCGGCCAGAGTCTAGCAAAAGTCTATAAAATTCACACACTCACAGGGTTTGCCCGGGGACCGCGCCAGACACACGTATCTCCGGACGTCGGAGTCGCACCCAGTGATAGGTGACAATTTCCAGCCACTGTCAATGGCAGCAGCTACACACGGAGCGCTACCACTGACCCATGGAACCCGCCAGCTGTCTTCTCTGAACGGTGGGCGACCCCTGCAACCGACAGGCTAGCCACCTCGACCGAAGGGCTGATCCATCTGTGACCGGCGGGTTGACCCTTCCCACCAAAAGGCTAACTCCTCCAATAGGCGAGCTGACCGTCTATGACCGGCGGGCTGACCTCTATATCCAGCGGGCTGACCTCTATATCCAGCGGGCTGACCCCTATATCCGGCGGGCTGACCCCTATGACCAGCGAGCTGACCCCTAGGCCCTATATCCAGCGGGCTGACCTTTATGACCCCCAGCTGACCCAGCGGAGGCCGGCTCACTCTGTGGCGTTGGCCTGCCGCTGGTCCAGTACGCCGCGCAGCCGGGCCATGTACCGTTTGGGCTCCGGCTCCCCGTCCTCCGTGGGCTGGAGGGCCGAGCGGAGCCGGGCGCCGGCCGCCAGCGCGCGCTTCTCGGCCGACGGCTTCACCATGGCGTTTATAGAGCGCAGCTCCTGGACGGCGGAGCGAGTTAGGTTAGTGCGGGGTAGTGAGGCCAGCAGAGCTGCTCTGACCACATACATCACGGTGAGGCACTTTGGAAAAGAACAGATGCACAAAAAGATACGGCATAAATGACATGAATCAAGATTCAGGAGTAGCAATCCTCCCCATCAAATAGAACTAAAATTACGCAAAATGAAACGAAACATTAACTACGGTTGGTAACAGTGCATTGACGCTTTAAAATAGTGGGATGAATGTAATAAAAGTGATTGGCCTCGTCCGAATTTCAACAATATAATATAAAACGCTGTTCATTGAAAATACATTTGCTGATAATTCGGCGGCCGGATTAAGAGGTCATTTGGTTCTCCCGTGTGCCCCGCGGGCCCGCTGTAACACTCACGTGCGCCGGGGACCGGTTAAAGCTGTAGGAGCGCATGGTGGCGGCACGATCTCCCAGTCGCATTGGCGACTGTTTCAGGGGACTAATGTAGATGGAGTGCGCCGAGGAGACGCGCCGACTGCGCGGCAGGGGGCTGTTCCGTGGCGACGGCAGCGGCGAGAGAGGCGGCTTACCCTGCCGGCGGGGAGGACATAGTAGTCAACAAACACGACAGATATCGGCCACTGTGCGCCGATCAATGGTCACTGCATCGGATCCATTGCACATAATATTGCACATAATACATAATATACGGGAGATGACGCGGCCACCGAACTTCGAGTGGAGGAAGTCCATCACGGGAGCAGTGACGTGCGGCGGCGCGCCGTCCTGCTGGAACCAGTACTGGTGGCGCGTCGCCCGAGCCTTCACCGCAGGCCACACCACCGTCTGCAGCATCTCCAGGTAGGCGTCGCTGTTGACGGAGCCAGTGAACCAGTGAACTGGCAGGCACTTCCCATCCACCACGCCCACCCACGCCATCACCTTCTACCCCTGGGCCTTCTTGCATGGCACGAGCTTGTTCGGATTCTCTGGCGACCAGCACACGGTGTTCTTCTTGTTTGGAGACGGATGCAGAGCAAACCACTTTTCGTCACTCCAGAGTACACGCTCAAACCACTCCTCATCATGGGTTAGCCAGAATTCACAGGAGTCCATCCTGGCCATCCGCGTCATCTCCCGAAACAGTGAACACCGATGGCCGCCGTACAGTCCCGACCTGTCTTGTCTGGACTTTTGTTTCTGGTCATTGGTGACGGCTCAGATCGTGCGCAGCGAGCCCCAAACGCTGGAACAGCTGAAGGAACTGGTTGAGGACTTCGCCCGCAACATGGACGAAGAGCAGCTGCGAAAGATGGCGCGTCACACACGCCGTCGGGCTGAGCTGTGCCGCTCAGAAGGGGGTGGCCACTTTGAGCACCTGCTGTAGATGAACAGTGGCTTGCAGGTGTATAATAGTGTGCAGTACAAAATGTCCCACGATGACGAGTCTAATGACGTGTCTTTTGTCTGGTGTGCTATTGAATACACATCTGCACGTGCCACTTACTTTATCTCATTCCCAAATGATCACCCGGAGGTATGATGTAGGATTTTGAAAACGAAAAAGTGAGCATAGCGATAAGAAAGCAAGAGGTTGACAAAATTTAACATCCGCCACAGTCGCGAGGAAATTATTTTTACTGGTCGGAAAATCATTTCTAGCTTGGCACCGTTCGCTGGTATGTGGAGAGAAAATGGCCAGCCAGTTACGTCGGAATATAACAATTTGAGACGCGGCTAGGACTGCCAAACGCACGTTACTCACGTCTCCCTTGGAGAATTTGCTGACGAACGCCTTGACCTTCTCGACGAACACCTGGTTGTAGAACTGGATGATGTCTCCGCGCTCCTCGTGCCGGTCCTCGAACTGGTAGCTGGTCGCCGTGCCGGCCATCCGGGACGGCGTTGGCGGGCACGGCGCGCCGGCCGGGGGTGCTGTGAGAGGGCACGGGGCACGGGTTACACAATCAGTGGCCACAGAGATCACACATCAGTGAACACAGGGCACACATCAGTAGATGCAGGATAAATCACACACAGGCAAAATACGTGAGTCACTGGTAGACCACAAGGCACAGGTCCTAAACTAGGTGCTTCGAAATACAGTGACATCAACAAAGCTAACAATATGTCCCGTCTGTCGCCACGGTTTGTCCGGACTGACCTTTGATGGGTGCGCTGTCGGCGGGCGTTTCTCGCTGTTCTTTCTCTTCCTTCTGCCCATCCTTCTCCTTCTCCTTCTCCTTCTCCTTCTCCTTATCCTCCTTCTCTTTCTGCTCCTTATGTGCGCCGTCAGCGGGCCTCTGGACCACCCCGAGTAGCACCGAGCGATAGACGTGTGACTTGGCCTGCGGCTGGCACCGGTACATGCCCATGATGTCCGTGAACTTCTTGTTGATGCCGAACGCCTGCCGAACGCGGGGGGGGGGCGTCAATTGAGTACTGCCGGCCCAGTAGCGAAACGTGCGTGCGTACGCGTCCTGCCCCTCTCTGACAGCGGATAAGAGGGTTAAAATCTTGCCAAGCCCACCAGCATAGATGCTACAGGTCGTAACTTCCTCCAGCTGCACTCTGGGGTGCTCAGGAGTGGCCGCAGACTAACTGTGCCTACCCCAGTGCTATCATACCATCCCGGCGGCGGTCTCACCTTGCAGACGATGAAGATGGAGGACATGATGAGCTGATCCAGGTGGCGGCCCTGCATCACCGTCACGTGGTGCACGATCACGTACTCGAACACCGTCCAGATGGTCTCTCGCACGTCATCCAGCAGCTTCAGCCGCTCGCACAGGTCCCGCATCCGCACCGCCGCCAGGTAGTAGAACTGCGGACACAGGATGTGGAAAGGTAGCTGAGAAAACCTGAAACGGTTATCAACAAAGCAAATCGTCGCAAACACTGAAACAATCGGTCAGGGCGTGACGTGTACTCAAAATGACTAAAGGGGTGACACTGATATTGGCGGATTCACAAAGACTTTCAATTTTAATTCCGGGCATTCTGCTCCATCTTACCTTTCTGAAGAAGAGTCCGAGCGAGTTTTGTTTGTGCGGTTTGACTGGCGGAGTGCTGCCGTCGCCGCCGGGGGTGGCTGCCGAGGGGGTGGCGGAGGGGGCGGCCGTCGGGGTGGCCGTGGAGACAGTCACCAGCGGCTTCTGGGGCGGCGTCTGGGCCGCCGCCGGCTCCGGCGCCGCGCCGACTGCGGTCTCAGTCTCAGAGGTCGCCGGGCCGGCGTCAGCGACATCAGAGAATATCCCTGAGCCCGCGACCTCGGAGAAGATCCCTGACCCACCGCCCGCCTCCGTCTTCAGCGGTCGGTTTTGGACTCCGTCTCCTGCGCCGTCGGTTTTGACTGCCGGCTGACTATCGGCCGCGGCCGGTGCGGCGGCGTCCGTCCGCGCAGAGGGCGTCTTGACGACGGCCGGGGCAGGAGAGCCCGCTGCCGGAGCGCCGACCGGCCGCACCGTGCGCTCACCGTCCGTGACGGGCGCGGCGTAGCGGCCCTCGCCGCCTCGTGAGCCCACGAACAGGGAGTAGGTGCGGAGCGGCATCCCGGTGCCCTGTCCCCGGCCGGCCGAACCTGCCCGGGCACAACGCAGGTCACAATGCCGCCGGACACAGGGCCACCGACTAACGAGAATGGCTATGATAGAAAAAGACACGTGAGAAGAGAACAACTCTCCAAACACAATCAACCAATCAACGATCAGAAAAATGTAAGTACAATCTCTCTTGAAAGTACCGCGCATCGGTGCGGCGGTGCCACCACGCCCGACGGCGGAAGGGTTGTTTAAGTTGAGATTCACCGAACCAATTGATCTGAGATATGGGCTAGGATGCCGAGGAGGTAGGGGGAGGGGCCGAACCGATTTTGGTTCACCGGTACCTTCTTGCTCCGTGTGGCGGTACTTTCAAGAGACACTGTACTTCCATAAATTACTTGCTGTTTAATTCCGTATCGGTGGACTTACAAACATTTGTACACAAAATGAATGAATGAATGAATGAATGAATGAATGAATGAATGAATGAATGAATGAATGAATGAATGAATGAATGAATGAATGAACGAACGAATAAATGAATGAAATTTAATGGACGATTTAAAAAAGAAAAAGAAAAAATGATTGACATAATAGAAAATGAATGAGTAAATGAATGAATGAATGAATGAATGAGACGACAACTCAGCCAGCGCGTGCGGGCCTTGCTGACGCCCTGGCCCCTTGACTGACCCTCCGCGATGACTCGGTGCTGTCCGCCGGCGGCGCGCGGGCCGACGAACAGTCGCCGCCGGGCCGTGGAAGGTGTCACCGGGGACATGAACCGGTCGGTGGCGCTCGATAGCGGCGACTGCTGCGGGTCTGTGAACAGGCGGCAGGGGTTATAGACACAGATAAATACAGACAAACATAGACAGACGAACAGACGACAGACGACAGGAGACGAACAGAGTCAGAGATAAACACCGTTAACAGCCAGCTGCTCAACAGCGGCGACTGCTGCGGATCTGTGGACAAATGGCGGCGGTTACAAGCACATACAAACACAGACAGACATAGACAGAGAGAAACACAGAAAACAGCCAGCTGTTCGACAACGGAGACTGGTGCGGATCTGTGAGCCAACGGCAGGAGTTTTAAACACGAACAGACAAACATGAACAGAAAAATACGAATAGGCAAACACGAACAGACGAATACGAACAGACAAACATGAGCAGAAAGATACGAACAGGCAAACACGAACAGACACGAACAGACAAACACAGACACCAAAACACGACATCATGCCGTCGACGCCCCCTCGGGCGACTGGTCCCCGTCAGATTGAAACCGTCCCCCGATTACACAGTACTCCGTCAGTATAGTATACTCACTTCTCGGCGACGTTCGGCTGTTATTTAGGTGATAATCTCACAGACTCTCTACTGTACTATGTGACTCTCTCTCAGTACTCACTTCTCGGCGACGGTCGGCTGTAGGTGACGAATACCCGCCTGACGGCCGGGATCGGCGACATGAGAACGCTGGCCGGCCCGCCGCCCACGGTCGGTGTACGCTCCGTCGCCTCCTGTCGGAACAACGCAACAGCTTTTGCTCAACATGCTCTGCCAGCACAGCACAGCAATGGATAGAGGAAGCACAGCAGAAAGCAGCAGCCAGGGATGATGACTGTTGCAGTTGATTATACTGTTGGTAACTGGTACTGTCGGCAAGGCCCTGGCACTGCTGGGGATGCTTCTACCTCGGCCGACACTCATGTACGAAACGATGACTACAAGGCATCACTGCAGCTGTCAGGCTGTGGGATAGGTACTGGTTGGGAAAGATAGGTGGGTTGTATACTTGGAAGGGCTGCACGGCCGTACCTGTAGGTGCGGCGCCACCGTCTCGCTGCTGGGGATGTTGTACTGTACCTGTACAGTGTGTTTGTACTTTGGTACCGTCTAGGCAATGTTGTAACGTACCTGTAGGTGCGGCGCCACCGTCTCGCTGATGTTGTACCGTACCTGTACAGTGTGTTTGGACTTTGGTACCGTCTGGGGAATGTTGTACCGTACCTGTAGGTGGGGCGCCACCGTCTCGCTGCTGGGGATGTTGCCGGACGCCGCGTCGATGACCGCCCAGAGTCGCGAGCAGCGCCGCCACGCCATCGAGTCGAGTACCAGCTCCTCCACCTGATGGGGAGAGGGAGACCGGGGGGTCAGTGGCGTCTGGGACTGGCGGCGTCAGGGCTGCAGTCTTACTTGGGCTGGTCAGCAGAGTGAGACCAGGCAGCGGTCAACGTCCAGCAACCTCAAATTTATACAAACGGTTAATAAATCAGCACTAATATACTGAACGATTACGACTTTACGCAACCACAAAAGCAAAATGATAAAACAACATCTACAGCCGCCTGAAATACTTCGTTATGTTAGAACTTTCCAACAAAATTCGCGAACATTTGCGCGTTTCATTCCAAATCCCGGCAGAGCCACACGGGACGGGACGGAGCGCTGCTCCCACCTTGTTGAGGTGTTTGACCACGTCCCGGCAGAGGCCCTGCTCCTCCCGTATGATGATCTCCAGTAACTTGTAGAAATCATACGGCTCGATGCCGAGCGCCTCGATGAGCCAAGGGAACTCTAGGGTGGCCGTGCTGTAGCTGAAGAGGACAATCTCCAGACTGCAGGCGAGGAGACACCGGTGGAACACCGTCTGTTCCAGCAGCACCTGAAAGGTGGAAACATCGGGCAGTCAGCAGACAGTGCGGCAACACACAATAGTCAACGAGCGGCGGCCGGAGGACAGCCTTACTGGTCGGCAGCCACTTCGTGTGGATGACTTTAGCATTTATTCACACATTTGTTTTGGCAGATTCTTTAGAACGAAAAACGGAGACCGATTTAAAAAACTCCTGTAGTTAATTTACACATTTTGCGGAGACCGACTGGATTGCAGGATGAGTCAAACTACCATCAACTTAGGTTAAGTTCACCTCTGGCTCTGACATCACTTAAACACATCCGCAGAGTGTTCCGCAATAAAATTCGGCGGTCAGTACCTCCTCACCCTGCCCTACTACTCACCAGAAGGTTGACGTCGGGCTTCTTCTGTCGCTCGGAGGTGACCACGTTCTCCAGCATCTTGTAGTAGAAGGTGGCGGCCATGCTGAAGCGTCGCTCCACCAGCTCGACAGCCTCATCCTCGGCCATGGTGCGCGCGCAGGCGGCGGCGAACTCGCTCCGGAACTCGGACACCAGAGTGGCGATCGTCTCGGTTGGGTCCGGCGTGCATCCGCTGGGATGGGGAGGGTAGCGGTGAGCACGACTGGCTTCGTCAGACGAGGGAAACAACAGACAAGGACTGATAAACGAGAGACGGTCATCATCATGATCATCAACTACCACCCCCACCTCTCCCCGGCTCCGTACCTGAGCAGGGCGGCCAGCTGGGCGCTCGGCTGCGGCCCCCGGCCGTCCAGCAGCGCCTGCAGCCGGCTGACGCTGTACATGGACGCGGTGATGGGCGTGGCGGCCGGGTGGGACGGCGCTGCGTCCACGGGCCGCAGGTAGCTCCGGCCCGTCAGAGGAGTGGCCGGCATCAGCACCGACTGGCTCTGGGGGAGCGCGGACATACACCGTCACAGGGGATTGCAGTATCAGGGCTTATCACTCATGCATGACTCCAGGGGTACAAAGTGCGGTGTGATGCAGGAGAGATAAGCTCCGCACTTATGTTTTATAATATGCCATTCAAATACAATCGTATATGCTATCTGTGTAATGCGTATGTTCGGAATGACGGAAAATCGATCAGTATGAAACTTTGCCGTCAATGACATTTGAATAAAACACTGCAACGGATCAAGCGAATCAAAATAGGTAGCCATCAGAGCCATGGAAAGCACCTTCCTGAGGTCACGATCAGATACTTTAAGTTTTAGTTGCTGAGACTGATCAACGTATCCACAGGCTCCTGGTTAAAACAGCCACAGATGGCCGTATGCACCCCACTCGCGCTCCGGCCGCGCTGGGCGTGTCACTGACCTGGGCGCCCTGCGACAGCATCAGGCTGCGCCGCACGTGCATCCGCTCCGCCAGATCTCCAGCAGTGACGCTGTAGTTGTTGGCTTTGCTCGGCGTGCCAATCTCCTGACAGGCCTGCTCGCCTAAGAACGTCCGCTCGTCGAAGTTGCCGCAGGTCAGCAGGTACTCCTCGTAGCGCTTGTTGACGCTCTTCCAGTTGGCATCGAACGTCTCCAGGGAGAGGATGCCGTGCAGGGTGCTGGCGTCGCCCCACAGCGCCTGGGGACGGGAGAGGCCGGGCGGAACGGCGGGCGGTCAGAGCTGGGCAGGGTGGGCAGAGGCAGGACACGCAGACACCGACAATGAGTAGATACACGGACGACAGAAAAAAAAAAAAACAGGAAAAGACGTGCAAACGACAGAGAGACTGACAGAGAAAGGCATGCAGTCGACGCATAAGACAGATCGATCCTACATTCAGACAGATGGACGGACAGATAAACAGCAGACATATCAGCCACTACCGACAGCAGAGCCCAACAGTCACTCACATTGCTGGAGAAGAGCTGTGCGATCTTGTCCTTCCAGACGTGCTGCCGGATCGCCTTGGCCTCCACGATGAGGCCGTCGAACTGGTTGCACAGGTACTCCAGAATGGAGGGCACCACCGCCGGCGGCTCGTAGTCGCGAGAGTTGAAATTGGCCGGCAGCGCTGCGGTGCCAGATCGAGGGGCACGGGTCAGGGTAAGTTAGAATAAAGTCGCGATGTGGACAAAAAATGTTCGATATCATTCGTCAATCAGTTCCCGAAACTCATTACAGATGATAGCGCATGCTCATTACCTAGGGAATCCAAACACATATCAGCGCGAGATTCTCACACTTTACAGCGTGAGAAAATTCCGAGGTTGACTACCGACAAGGGCAGCGCAACAATGAAAATATATGACGCCCAAATAGTTTTCAATAGTGAGGAAATCACGGAACCCGTTACGGCCGAGCCAGGAATCAGAGCTCTCGGACTCGAACTCCTTGAATGACACGTCCGGCCTCCTGGCACTCACCGGGGGACTGCCGGTTGAGCAGATCCCGCCGGTCGGCCGCCACCGTCACACCGAACATGTAGTCGACGCAGGCCAGCAGCAAGTGGTACGTGCTGACCAGGTCGGACGACACAGACGGGATGGTCGACTTGACCAGCACAAACAGCGACCAGGTGAACTGGAACAGGTCGCTGGCCGTGCACGCGCTCCGTCTGAGGGAGGGGGACAGAGGACACGTCAGGCGACACACGGTGTCAAATGAGACAGAACGGTTCAACATCATCGGATATAAATATCCACGTGGAGAAGGTTCATTAATCATTGCCATCCGGCGTAACTCACAAGCAAGAATGACGAACTATGATACATAATGTTCACGAGCTACTAATAAAATAAAGTGTTCACGAATTAATCAGCGCGTCTCGTCTCCACCCACCTCTGTTTTCTGGACTTTGGCGGCCTCGGAGGGTCGTCGGCGGGGTCCGTGTAGATGCTCTTAAACATGGGCTCAAAGTAGTTGTTAAATAAAAACGTCGAGACGGCAAAGTTCCGCTCCAGGGCGTCCAGGTTGCGGTGGAACGGCTGCGGCAGATTGCACATCTCGGCCCACTTCTTGGACTTGTCGAAAAACTCGAGTAAACTGCGGGAGCACATAACGCAGGCAACAGTCACACAATATAGTAGGTATACATAACACAAAGAACAACACATGTCACACAGAACTAAGCAATTAATGCGCATCCAGGAAAAACTGGCACCAGCAAAGTTATCAAATGACCTTTTACGTTCAACTACATGCACGCACTGCTTCTAAGTTGTGTTGAATATAATTTCAAATTGTTCCAAATAGCTCAGTATTCGTCACATGAGCTATCTGGTAGTAAGATCCTGGTTCGAGCCGCCACGGCGCTCGATCTTAGCTCCCGATGCTCGTCGGTCATAGGCAGTGGTCGCGCCAGAAGTCGGTGAGCGGGGCGTGCAGTTGGGATACGCGAGTCGTGGCGACGTTAAGCATAATCTGCCGTGTAGCCCGAGTTTCCCGATCGGGCAGGGTGGAGGTCGGGATCTGAAAAACAAGCACTTCATATCGCCTACTTTCATAAGCCCGTCACTGACCTGAACTTTGAGAAGCGCAGCAGCCGAGTGAGGCTGATGAAGTTTCCCTGCATGGGCGCCGCCTGGTGACCACCGACGGAGGGCACGGAACCCTTCCGGCACGAGACGTATAGCGAGCATGCCAGCCAGTGCAGCTTGTTACCCTGGCGAGTGGCACAGACTGAGATCAACAACCACAGCTATTCACAACACTTCGCTACTTTGGCTTTAGATCTTTAGCAATGCTCATCTCTACAAGCTAAGGTGAACATTAACTTGGAAACAGATTTGAGGATTACAATTTGAAGGGATTGCAATTGAAGCTGCTATGAAAACTTTGGCAATGAACTCAACAGAATATCATCAAAGATACTATTCATTAAAAAGGTTTACCCTGCCTGATTAAATGGAATGAATGAAATTCAATGAAGAGCTCATAATACTAAGTAAAAATTGTGATGAATTACCTCTAGAGTGTAGTTTTGCTTCACTTGGCAATAGCTGTTCCAGGCTTCTCTTGCTGTCATCTTATCCATGTTGAGATCATAGCACATTTCAGTGAATTGCCCATGGACCTGGTCACTCTTCTCGTCGACAGCGTTCATGTTTGCAGTTGATAAAACAGGATGTGGAGTGGGCAATGGCATGACTGCCACTAATGAGATCAAACAACCATAAAAATAAGGTTATAACTATGCTGCTTCCCTGCAACAAAGAAAATATATCACTTCAACACTCGTTGGCGGTTGGACATATTGGTTTTCTACAGACAGTGGGCGGCCGAGGGCGGGTTGGAACGACCCCTTCGCTGTTTCATCCGTAAAGGACTGCTAGAACCTCGCGGAAAACACGAGCGTATGCGCCGTTACGAGATGCAGCGATTGGTGCCCGATTTTAAGGTCTCAGGTCAACCAGTGACCTCTAAGGTCAGGTCAAGTGGCCCAAGGTACAGGTTCAATTTTGGGTTTAAACAAACTTCACCAAAAATGGCTGCAGACTCATGAATTTTTCATCATTGTGTTAGCCCAGCCCAGGTGCGTTAAATGGTGAACGCTTTGTTTGGGTGATGTCAATTTTGGGTTTTGACCTCGGGTCATGGTCAGATCAGAGCCCCTCCCTCAGGTAACAAAGTTGGTCAAAGGAGGTCATATCACATAACATTCAATTTGGCAAGTCCTGAATCTATTGGTGGCTTTCCCGATGCGCTAGCTCAATTTGATCACGAGTTACTGACAAAAAACTCAGATGACCCTAGTGACATAAATGGCATCATGCAAGGTCAACAATGCAAAAGTGAAGGATCAGACATTGCAAGGAGTGCATGAAAGCATGATTCTGTGTGCTTGACATAGTTTTGGATCATTCTCAGAGCCGAAATAACAGTTTCCAGATTTATCCATCGATTTATGAAATCACGTAACCGACCTGACCTTATGTGACCTTTAGGAGAAATTCGAGATATACAAGTTGTGGGACCCCTGGAGGACCCTAGGTCCTGTAACTTTCATCTCTCTGTAAAAGCTCCCCTGGCACTTGAGGCATTGCAAAGTTGCAACATTTGAGGACCATGCAATTGCAGAGGTTCACTTGACATCATAAGTCAGTGACATCTGACCTGACATGAAAATATGGTTGGTGTCAAAAGCTCCAACTTAACTGACACGGATAGCAATAACATACAATGCCTACAGCGCTGAAGGAATGCTTTTTGGGCTTTGATTATTGTGAGCTTGGATCACAATCAGGATGTGAATTGTGAAGCTTATTTCATCCAGCTTACACAGCTAAAAGGTAATTGGTATCAGCAAATGTCAGGAGCATGGCAACAGCGCTTATCCTGCCAAGATCATGACCAAAACTCGTGAGTATGATAAAATCAAAATGAAAAATACAGAGAACCTGAACTCCTCACCCTAACCTCCGACCACCTGACGAGTGTGAAAAAGAACGCGGCGTCTTCCCCAAATTTATAAACAGAAATCCAGTAATGGCGCACATGTGACATGTCCTGCGCACAATTCGCGCGAAAGTAAGAAACGTGCCACTACTAATTTAACAGCGCGCTAACCAATGTTAATTAGGGCTTCAAATAAGGCAATTTCACCCTGAATTATTGACAAAAAGTCACACACACAAATGTAAAAATCAGATTAATTATGCATCTGTAAATATTAGGTTTAAATATAAGATTCAATGCATTAACAAATGTCTTTTACTGTGGGAAGTGGCGCCAAATTTAATTGATTTTAGTCGCTGGAAAGATAATTAGACCCAAATTAGACCTTAGGGCTAGACAATTGATGACATTGCAAGGACAACAAGAAAAGACTGGACAGTAGACAGAAAGAAGTCATTCTTTTTCATTCCATTTGAGCCCTGCTCTAATATCTCAAATCGAATACGGGCACGATCCCAATGATTTAGGGGAGCGTCCGTCCGTTTCCCCGGGTCGGCCGGTCGCCGTAGCAATAGCCTGCTACTTGCTAGGAGCCGTTTCAGCCCTCGCCTTTTGCTTTGAAAGGGGATGCCATGCACGCATAAACTAGCAAATATGGTTGTGCACTAATGCAGCCATTTCACCTGTGACCTGGAGAATGGAATTTCGCATCTTGTTTGGTAGGTATTAGGTATATTTTTAATTACTGTAACAAGATATAAAGGTAAGGCAACAAATGTCAAACAATATTGCATTGCATGCATGAATAAAAACACTATTTCTCATCAGCTGCCCAAGAACCACATCCACTCATACGTGACAAAAAAAAAACCGAAATGTTCGGTTGAACCTTCCGACGGTTGCCAACTACGCACATCGGATCGGTGCATTCCCCTTGCCTCTAGCCGCAACCATATGACGGATTACGGACGGTTGGCATGCCTACTTTCCCGGCCTTGAGGAGGCCTTTTTGGGCTTTGGAGTTCGGCGCGCGGACCGCCCATCGGTCGGACCGATTTTCCTCGTTGACGGTGCATACCTATTTCAGTTGTGTCTACGGGTAAACCCTGCTTAGTTTGTCGATGCTGGGTTTTACGATTATAAACGGTACCTAATGCAGCAAAATACTCTGAATAAGAATAACTCGTAAAGCAAGAGCACAAGTCCTGCATTTTGCAGCAAACAACGTCATGTCTGTTAGCCGTGTTAGGCACGATGCTGGATTTTGGCCCCGCGTCGCTCGTCTCGGTCCACTGTGCGCCGCGTCCGCTGCACCACCTGGCGGTCAGCGGCGGGCGATGCCGCACACCGGTCGAGTGACCTTGCGGAGCGGGCGGTGGCGGCGGTAGCGGCGGTGCTCAGTGCTGGCGTCTGTGAGTCGCCGGTGTGGCTGCGGTAGCGGCGGTGTGCTCTCGCAGACAGGTGCACCGTTCACCAGCGACCACCTGTGATCGGTGAACACGGCATTGTCCGCAGGGACATCACCGACAAACAGCAGCATCATGGGCTAGCGACAGGTGCAGGTGAGTCGCCGGGGTCAGCGAACTTCCCGTCACCCCTCAGGCCGCCGGCGACTGTGACGCCATTGTGTGAATAACGTTCACTTTGTTCTGGTTTCTTTTGCGGACGGTCGCCGGCGGATAGTGGAATGTGACCGCAGTGCGTTACCACCAGCGTAGATCGTCACCGCATATGTGCACAGTGCATTCTCGTGCATTCCATTTTACTGTGATCACTGGTGCGTCTCCCTCGCACCCAGCGTCCCACGAATTTAAATTACGTCTTGCGAACTATAATTACGTCCCGTCCTCGGTCCTCCCGTCCTGAGAACGAAATACGAAATAAAAACTCCCGGCACCGTTTTCAGGCGACCGTCGGTGAAAGGGCGGTCGTAACGGTGCATTTTTATTTTGGCTGGCATCTCCACAGTGTAGCGTCACTATTGCGAGACAATCCACGGCCCGGCCCTTTTTGTTACCTCCGTCCTCCACCACCCGCCTGGAACCTCCAGCGCAGCACGGTGTGTAAACGGCGGCCGTCTCAGTCTGCTCGAGACCCGACAGAGACGTGGTCCGGACTCTGGGTAAATATCATTCTATGCATGCTCTGCATGAGACGTCGGCTGCGTGGGTTCGACTTCGATGTGAACGGACTTACAGAATTAAATTCCAAATACCCACTAAAAACGCCCACCGAGCTGCCGTCTACATATCTGGACCCACCCAGTTCACCGCCCGTGGGTGCAGCGGGCTGCAGCAGCCAGCAGGTCACCCTTCAGTGCTCACAACATCGGCCAGACAGCGATCATTGCAAGTTGACCATACTTACTACGGGTCGCTGCGCCCCGCAGGCCGTCTGCTCGACTGTGGGTGTTGCACTGTTACGATAAAGTGCCGGAGCGGTCCGCCCGTCCGACCGGTTGCTGACTAACCCATCGGCGGGGGAGGAGGCGGCTGGCCAGACGCGACTGACGTCACTAACTCACACCATACGATCTACAGGCACTGTATCGATGAATGACCGATATGTGAACTATGCCCGGCAGACTAGACTCCAGCCTTCCCACCTGACTAACCTCCGAGGGTCCGACCACCGACCTCCGACTCCGACCTCCGACCGCCGACCTTCAACCTCCGACTCCGACCACCAACCTCAGGCGATGCGTCTGTGCGGCTGTCGGCTACGCCGGAGCACGGCCCTTCTGCTGGCCGTGCTCGGCGTGGCCGCCGTGCTCTACGTCCGCTACATGCAGCAGGAGGTGGAGCTGACCGACCCCGACCCGGACGTGGTCAGGATTATTAGGTGAGTCGACGTGGCCAGGTCACTGAATGGGTCACTTCAGATAGTCTCCTCGGTTAGATCATCTCGGCTTGGTCACTGACTGGGTCACGCTAGGTCACTGGCTGGGTCACCTGGACTCTAGCTGAGTCACCTGCCCCTATTTGCATTGGCTACGTCACCTCTACCAGGTCCTTTAGTTAACCACGGCTAGGTCACATCTACGAAAAAACATCGAATGGGTCTACTCGACTGTATCACTTTTGTTCGGTCAAGGCCCAGGGGTTGGTTCACAGGTCAGGGCGGTGGGCACTGATCTGTTCATGCTATTCGGTGCGTCGCCTGTATACTGCTGCATTTAGCTGATCTGACTCATCTTATCGCTTTGTTTCGCACAGGCAAAATAAAAACCAAAAGGAGTACATCAACCGGAAGGGCATCCACGTCGTGGTGGGCCACTACAAGGGCGACCCGCCTCCGGAGAACCTCACCCAAGGTCAGACTCCTCGGCACTCGCTCATACATGGGGAGGCGTGCGGGAACGCATGCAACAGCGTTAGCACGTAGTACGCCACTTATTTTTCGTTTCGCATCGATCGTATGGTTCTGGGCTCTGGCCATATTATTACCGCCGTATAACGTGATATTACGTATAACGTTTAAACTTTAAACCCATGTAACGTGATTAAAATGTTTAATGTTTTGCACAATGGCATGTCGCAAACTTGAATAAATGTATGAACGTTTAGACCAAGTTACGACTTTCACAAGCACCTGCATAATGCATGATGTCGATAAGCGGCACTTCAAAAGTACACGACCGCAATGCTGACGCCGTCTCTGTCTCTGACCAGCAGCTATTCTCAACACCAACGACTACCGCCCGGTGCCTGGCGAGGGCGAGAAGGGCATGCCGGTGGTGGTGCCGGCCCACCTGCTGGACAAGATGCGGAAGCTCTACCGCATCAACGAGTTCAACCTGGTGGCCTCCGACCGGATATCGGTGAACCGCTCACTGCCGGACGTCCGGCGCGCAGGGTCAGTGGTCCTATGGAGCTCAGTTCATACGTGTTGGATGCTCTGTATAGATTCTTGTTCGTATGCGGTAGTTGCTTATTAGTTACGGAGACTCGGGAGTTTGCATTCAGTAATTATTATTTCCGAGTTATTATATTAACTATTGCGTTTTCTTTCCTTTCCGAGTTATTATATTAACTATTGCGTTTTCTGTGCCCTCTTGTTTTCTGTACTTACAAGTTCTACACTAATGAAATGTGGCCCATGACCGACAGGATAAAGGTACCCATGCATTGTTCGTAAGCAACAATTAACACGCATTTTCACTCTTTTCTCCCACAGATGCCAGGACAAGAAGTACGACCAAAGTAAGATGTCGGCTGCCTCCATCATCATCGTCTTCCACAACGAGGCGTGGTCGACGCTGCTGCGGACCATCCACAGCGCCATCAACCGCTCGCCGCGCGAGCTCCTGAAGGAAATCATTCTCGTCGACGATGCCAGCGAGCGCAGCTTCTTGGGACGGCCCCTGGACGAGTACGTGGCGCAGCTGTCCGTGCCCACTCGCGTGGTGCGCATTGAGGAGCGCACGGGGCTGATCCGCTCCCGGCTCATGGGAGCTCAGGAGGCGTCCGGTGATGTCATCATCTTTCTGGATGCCCACTGCGAGTGCACGGAAGGTAGGTTACCAAACAGGCTCACGACGAGCCGGTGCTCCGTGAGTCCGTGCGGTCGGACCCGGTTGACGGAAGTGACTTTTGCGTGCCGTCCTTCAAACATTGTTGAGCTCGCGGGTTGCAGCTGCCACCGATCCGTTTGTGCTGCGCTTTTAGCTACGTTCAACAGGCTGGCTGGAGCCCGCTACTGCCCTGGTACTGTAACCCTGCAACAGGCCTTGTAGTAGCCACTCTGCTTGCCGGCAGGCTGGCTGGAGCCTTTGCTGCCCTGTTACGGTAGCCTGTCCTATAGTTAACACTGTCCAATCCGACAGGCTGGCTGGAGCCGCTGCTGGCGCGGATCGCCGAGAGCCCCACCTCCGTGGTCTGTCCCGTGATCGACATCATCAACGACGATTCATTCGCCTACACACGCAGCTTCGAGCTGCACTGGGGCGGCTTCAACTGGCAGCTGCATTTCCGCTGGTTCACACTGGGCGAGCGCGAGATCCAGGCCCGAAGGAAGGACAACACCGCGCCGTTCAGGTTGGTAAAGGGGACACTGAGTCACTGACTAAAAAAGGTCTGCTGACTTAACTTGGTATCGGGAGTGTCGGGAAGGGTACTACCCTCGGGTGGCTTGGGCTACTTTACATACGAAGCCTACTTGCCAGTCAGCTTGCATTGCATGGCCGTCCGTGTCTGTCGGCTCGTCTGTCATTCGAGATTCTAACAGTCTGTATCGTTATCCAGTCAGTTTGTTACTTTGTCCGTGCCGCTGACGGATTCTCCATCAGTTTATACCGTTCATCCGCCTGGCTGAGGATTTGTCCATCAGTCTGTGCCGTTTGTCAGTCTTTCTGACGGTTTATCCGTTTTTTTTTTTTCCACAGGACACCGGCAATGGCCGGTGGGCTGTTCGCGATAAACCGGGACTTTTTCTACCAGTCCGGGTCCTACGACCGGGACATGGACATCTGGGGAGGCGAGAACATCGAGATGTCGCTCCGGGTGAGTTGCTACAGCTCACAAATGACGATTCGCCATTGAAATGTGTACCTACTGTTGAGGCGAGGTGAAATAGGGTGTCCGTATTACACTCTAAATGCATGTCACCTTTGGTTGGAAGTTGTAAAACCGTTCGCTCATAACAGAAAAGGGTTTTATTTGGCTTTGGACGTGCCTTAGACCATGGCACTACAGCGACAGAGTCCTCAGGCCACTACCAGGGATAGCGGTGGTAGTAAGCCCCGTGCTCCCGAGCGCCGTTGGTGACCAATAAATGGCCCACAGGTATGGATGTGCGGAGGCAGCGTGGAAATACACCCCTGCTCGCACGTCGGACACATCTTCCGCAAGAACTCGCCGTACACGTTTCCCCGCAAAGGAGGCGTGGGAGGCGTGCTGCACCACAACCTGGCCCGCGTGGCCACCGTCTGGATGGAGAAGTGGGCCGACTTCTTCTTCAAGGTGAACCCAGGTCAGTGGCGCACGGTTCTAGTGGGGTGTGTCGTGTACTGAGGTGAGTGTATCGATCTCATTCGCTCTCCACAACAAACCCAGCTGTAGCATCAATGAAGACAGAGTCTGTGATTGGGATGCTGGCTTGCATGGACGAGATTGATGTGACCAATGACGATGTAATTTGTCAACAATGCTTCCATTAGACCACATTTATAATATTTCCTGGCTCCCTTCCTCAGAGGCCGCTAAGATGAAGGACACCACTCAGGTCAGCCACCGGATGATGGTGAAGAAGAGGATGAACTGCAACAACTTCAAGTGGTTCCTCGACAACATCTGGCCGGAACACTTCTTCCCCGACGATGACCGCTTCTTCGGCAAGGTATGTGTGTACTCAACACATCACCTATCCGTACATAAATGTCGTTCATTCCATTGGTCTCGGCAGCAGTCAGATGAGGATATGTTGCTACTAGCCGGATAACGAGCGGCTGTCGATCTCAAGCCGTTGTTTGTTCATTAGGGCTTTTGGCGCGCTGACTGCGGTGGTCATTTCGCGCCCAGATCTCAAGCCTCCGTCACTCACCCATGCCCTTCTCCGTTCCCAGATCCGTAACGACAAGCTGGAGCACTGCGTGCAGCGACCGTACGCCACGGGCACGGGCCAGCCGTCGGGGCCGGCCACCACCACCGACTGCGCCTCCAACTGGTACACCCCCCAGCTGTTCGTCATGACCGTCGACGGCTTCATCATGACGGACGAGTCCGTGTGCCTGGACGTGCCGGACGGAGGCCGTGAGACGGCAGAGTCGCGGGTCCGGATCCACGGCTGCAGTCAGCTGTCGCGCCAGAAGTGGTTCCACGACTCCAGTACCAGTCAGCTGGTACACGTGGACTCTCAGAAGTGTCTGGACCTGCCGACGGCGGCGAATCCGGAGAGCCTGGTGGTGCTGGCCTGTTCTGACGGTCCCAGTCAGAAGTGGACGCTGGAGGAGGTCCCGTGGACGTGAGACGAAGGGATTCGAGATCAATAACGAAGGGTCCCGTGGACGTGAGGAGATGAATCTCAGGTCGTCATGAACAAAACACTATGCCTCAGAGGTGTGACGAGAACGTTAGACGTTTATCATACCAGCTGTGTGGCTAGACGATTTGACGAGAGAACGCTGAGCGTCTATCACAAACTGAGAACTGCATCTCAAGGATGTTACAAGACGCTGAACGTCTATCTGAGGAGAGATTTGCCCAGCGGACCCAGTGATACATTTCCGACCATTCCGTCCCTGTGATAGTGATACTCGTGCCTGCAGGAGACTAACCATTACTCGGCTCGGAGAGCTGAAGGTGAACGCGTGAGTGAGCGATTTCGGGTGCCGGGAGACGAATTCTCACTCCCAAGTCAGTGCCGACATTTCATCTGTTCATAACATGCTCAGTGCGAGTGTTTCAGGCGAGCCCGTGATTGGTGACTTGCGATAACTCAATAACCACCTTTTCACGTGAAAAGGCGCGATAGGGAACGGATCGTTGCTATGTGGAGTGACTCGATGGGCAGCGATGGGCACCCGCTTGTGATCAAGGGTCGGACGGGGCGGACCCGATGGCACCACGGCCGCATATTGTCGGCCGTGTGCTGCCCAAGGCTCTATAGAAGTGCTGCCCTGACCGCGCCAGCCCCGCCACAGCGGCTAACCTACCGATACGTTTAACACTGACCAAAGCCGCCCGCGCGCAGGTCTCCTGGCGGGCCAGCGTTCAATTCGCGAGTGTTCCTAACCTCCTAACGTCTTCCGTCCAAGGACCAATAAGAGTATGCCGCTGCTGACTCGGTGGCAGAGGCTATTTATTACTACAGCTAATGTCTTGTTTTTATACTTGTTCTTCGTACCGAAAATGTGCTGATGTTTTGTCATGACAAATATTTATACCTAACCGCACGATATTGTGTATCACAGACTGAATCAATATGAAATAACTTTATTCAGAGTTTATCAATGAACAGAAAAATACAATTCTGGAGGGAAAAGTTACAAAACATGTGATAAACTGGTTTCCACACTTGCTTAGAACGAGTCTCTAATGCGGTGGAGTGAATATCTCCTACGCTTTTGGTCTTTTCCGCACATCACAGTTAAAAAGTAACTCTGCACAACATTGGTAACACCTATATTAAACCTATACATTATACAACGTGGGCGGCCGGCCGGGGGCGGGGGCGCGGCGGCGCGGCCGGCGAGTATTGACCAGGTGCGGCGGCGGGCCGCTGCGCTTGTACTGTCCGGTTATGAAGCTGAGGGCCGCGCCACCGCGCCCGTCGCCGCCGCTCGGCGTCCAAATCAACGGCGGTGGAGAGACGGAGAGAGTAGGAGAGAGGGGAGGCGGGTGGACAGCCGGGACGGCGTTAGTGCCAGCGGGTCGGTGAGTGGCGGCAGGGACGCGGCTGCTAGCTGCGGAGACAGTCCAGGAGGCGGCGCCGACCGCCGCCGCCGCCGCCGCCCTCACACTATTGCACACGCGGCACCCGTATAGTGCCGCCGGCGGGGGGCGCGGCGCCGACCTAGGGCCGCGCCGGCCCGCGCGTCGGCGGCTCGACCTCACGGCGGCGGCGGCGGCGGCCGGCCCCGGCGCCGTCCGCGACCTACTCGAGAAGCGCTGGCTGTCCGAGCGCGGCGCCGGCGGCGGTTGTACCGCCCACCGGCGCCGTCAGAGGGGGAGACGCGCGCGCCGGCACCGCGGCGTCAAACAATGAGGAGGCATGCAACACATACGGAGCGGCCGACCGAAGGGTGGCGCCTCGGGGGCGCCGGCGACTGCGGCCGCCACAGGGGCCGCCGCCGACGCCGACGCCCGTCTAATGCTAAGCGAAAGCGTGGCGAGCACGGCGCCACCCTGTGCGGGTGACGCCGCGTCGCGCAGCGGCCAACTAATCCTAGGTCTCTCACGGCGTGCTGAGGATATCTGGGTTTGGTGCGCACGGGTCGGCGGCCGGCCTGCGCTCGGTCGCTGCCCTCCCGGGTGCGATCAGATCGCGCGCGCCGTCTGCTGGCGCGCAGGCGGCGCCGTTTAGAACGGCTCGGCCTGGACCTGGGCCGCCGACCCGCCGCCCGGCGGCTGCCCGCGGCGGCGCCGTCCGCTGGGACAGCGCGCCTGCGGGCGCGGCCAGCCGCCGACCGGCGACCGCTATGGCACTGGCGAGGCGGCGGAGCCACCGGGCCGGCCGGCCGGCCGCGGCCAGGGCGGATGCGCGCGGCGGACGCGTCACAAAGCGAAGCGATTCTCCCCACCGTGCCGAATAGACGCGCCCCGGGACGCGGCGTTGGCACCGGCCGCCGCGCACCAGCGCCGCGCCCCACGCACCCTGCTTCTCTGACTAGACCTATCCTTATAAATATGTACAAACAGGCTGGCCGCTGGGCGGCGGGCCGGCCGGCGTCGCGGCGCCTCCGGCAGCGGCCGGGCCCGACGCGGCCGCGCGCCGTCCGGCCCCTCGCTCGTCCACCATCCAATACCCAAATATCCGCGCTCACTAGCTTAACACTCTTTTGAAGAGTTTCCAGTAAGGTACTTGTCTATACAAAAATGAGAACACTTTAACATGAACTATCACTTAAAGTTCAAAGAGGGCATCCGGCTCGTGCAAGAGCACGAGCTGGCCGGGACGGAGCGGCGGCCGCCGCCACGGCCGGCCGCCGCCCCGCGCCCGCCCCACATAAGCGATTGTGTCGGATAGTTTGATTTGTTTCTGGCCGTCCGTGTCCGGCCGGCCGGCTGACTCGTCTACAGCACAGCGTTAGTAGTTTGATTTGGCGCCGCTCAGAGCAGGTGCAGGCCGAGCGCGGCGGCCGAGGCGGCCGGCTCGCCCGGCCCGGCCGGCAGCACCGGCAGGTGGTAGTACTTGCAGCGCGGCCGGGCGCACTTGCCGCGCACAGAGTCCCGGCACACCGTCACCTGGTTGCTGCTGGTGATCTCCACGTGGTCTGTGGGCACCGGGAGGGCCAGGTCAGCGGGCGAGGTCAGCGGGCGAGGTCAGCGGGCGAGGTCAGCGGGTGAGGTCAACGGGTGAGGTCAGCGGGCGAGGTCAGCGAGCGAGGTCAGCAGGGGTCAGAGGGCGAGGTCAGTACAGCGAACACACACCAACCACAAAGAGGACGACCGAAGGAGCTTCAGACAATCGGGATAAGGCACACATTGAGGAGAGTAGACACCGCACGGCCGAATGAGGGATTCGCTGCTCCAGATAAATGAAGCACACACTCACAACGGTCAGCGACAATTTTAGGGCAGCTCATGCACAGCGAAGCAGTTAACCGGCTGGGCTTTCCTCTTTGTTAAAATGACAGAGCATCATCAGAGCAACACTCGATAGTCGATAAAAAGGCATCTTCACGTAAATCAAAGCAACACTTGATATAGAGGCACCGTCACGAAACGAAGAAGTAAAATTAGTCCAAATACTAAGAACTACTACGCTCAATCGATCACAAGCGTTAGCTGCTAGTGAGACCCTCGCCGGCTGCCCCGAGCCCCGTCTGATCTCCGCTCTAGCCACAGTCACGCCAAACACGGCCCACGCACCTGGGACGTAGTGGACAAATTTACAGGCAGGCCGAACGCAGGCTCCTTTCCTAAAATCTTGGCACACTGGAAGGTTGTCCAGCAACTGTAAGACAGAGACCGGTGAGCGGACGGTGCGCCGGCGCCGGCCGAGAGCATGTCAACATTGCAAGTGAGAGAGAGAGAAAGAGAGACAGAGGAGGCGGCGCGGCCGGCCCGGCCGGCGGCCGCGCGCCGCCGACCGAGCCGACAGCGTGCCCGCGGCGCGGCGCGCGGCTCTCAATTACGGCGGCGTTATCGTTACTGGACAAATGTGACGGCCGCCCGCGCCATCGGCCTCAAACGCGCAGCTGCATTGTATTATCGTATATGACCGGCCAGCAATTGTTGTTGATAAGCGTCGTTACTTGTCACATGCTCAACTATGCATTCGATTTAGCCACAGTTTCAAAAACCTTTGACTTTGAGATAAGCAGCGAACAAAATTCAATACTGGCAAAAGAAAAGAACACACGAAAAGCAGTATAACGTCGGCCGCCGGGCCCATAAGCAGCGGGGTTGTCGGGCAAAAAGGATGGGAGAGGTTAATGGCGCACAAAATTTGCTTCCGTAATGACTTTCGAAATGTGATACAGTATGTAGGCAACCTGCTCCTTCGACGGAACAATTTAATAAATCGTACTGATCATAATGCAATTAATGCCTTTTCACAAAAGGTCTCTTTCAACTCCTTGGTCTGTGATATGGAAACTCATGCTGCTGTGCAGCATCAAATTAGGTATGTCAGTCACTTCTTGAATTTTATTTCAGCTCAGTTGATTTAGGATAAGTAGACAACACGAAGAATTAGTATTGAAATCGAGGAAGAACGTTAGAGTAAAATACGTTTGAAGCCATGAATATGCTCTCCCACCGTCTGAGCTCGGCGGGCTGCGCCGCGGCGGCCGGTGGGGGCCGGCCGGGCTCCTCCGGGTCACGGGTCAGGTCAGAGGTCACGGCAGGACGCCGGCAGCTGAGGAAGGCACGGACGCTGAAGCGGGGACGGAGTAGGCGGGCGGCGGGCGCCGGAGGCCGGCGGGCGGGTCCGCCGGGGCGGGCGGGCGGAGTCAGGGCGCGGTCCGGCCGGTACGGGTCTGACTGACTCGCGGCGCCAGCAGTGGGCGCCGCCGGAGAGGGGGGCGGCCGACCGCGCCCTGTACTCCGCAGCACAAGCGGGGCTGAAGCGGGCCCGGCGGCGGCGTGAGGTCGAACCGCCGCTCCATACTACCTGTCCCAGAGAGTCCGTGTATGTCACAGAGTGTGCGTTATTGCCTAGCGTCGGCAAGCCAGCCCAGCCAGCATGCACGGGAGTTGAAGCCATGCCACGGGTCGGGAGACGCCGACCCGGTCACAGGCGTCCGGCCGCCGCAGCCAAAGAGACGCGCCAAGTGTGGCCGAGCGCGCGCGGCCGGCCGGCCGGCGGTGTCGATCAGGTGTCGGTGGAGTCAGGCCGTGGCCGACGGTCCACGGAGCAGTCAGCCGTGGTCATTCCGACGACAGGAGAAAGACAAAGAACAGAGAGAAAGAGAACAGAGAGAGAGAGAGAAAGAGACAGAGCGGGGTTGAGAGGGGAGAGAGCGGGAGATAGAGCAGAGCGCAGGTGTGACGGGGCGGCAGAGCGGCAGAGCGGCGGGGAGAGAGTGCAGGCGGAGTGACCAGCCAGGTCCGGCCGGTCGGTCGGACGGATGATTGTACGGACGGACGGACGGACGGACGGTCGTGGCCAGCAGGAGAGCAGGAACGCAGGTCCGTGTTACGGGAAGAACATGGAAAAGCCAAAACAGAGAGAAATTAATGGTTGGTAAAATGACATCACATATGAAGCTGGGAAGCGGTTCGGACTACAAAAGCACCTTTCCCATCGTCCGTCATCACTTGTGGCCTCAAGCTTCTAAGATATTAGTGAAAAAAGAAGAGCCCAAAATTGGGTACGGTACCATTTATAACACGACTTTGACTAATACAAACATAGAAATACACACTGAGAGTGTGGACAAACAGCAAGTACACAGTTCATCGTGCAAGCCAGCAAGCGGATTGCTCAGCGACACGAGCCGTATCTTACAACGCCATCTACGAGGCAATCCGCTAACTGCGAGTTGTGCAGTCTGCCGCCCGTGGTGCACACACTGGGAGCCACGCGCGAACGAGAGGCGGCAAGCAGAGAGCGGCGCCGGCGGCGAGCGGCCGGTGGCGCGCCCGGCGGCGGCAGCTGCGCCGCGGACACCAGCACACCGCAGCTGGTGGAGCTCGGTGGAGCCGAGAGTCCGTCAGGACGGTGAGCAGGTGAGCTGGCCGCTTTGGTGGGCCGGTGTCCGCGGCGCGGCCGCCAGTCAGCGGGGTCGGAGGTCTGTCAGGCAGCGAGAAAGTCAGCTGGGAGTTCAACAACTAGAAAGTCAGCTCAGGGTCCAAAGTCAGAGAGCCAGTATCAGTCAGTCCAATGTCCATTAGTCAGTCCAAGGTCCATCAGTCACTCCAGAGTCCAGGGTTTGTTAGTCAAGGGTCTAGGGTCTGTCAGTGAGGGAGTCTGGGATTGATCAGTCACACATTGTCCGTCATCGTACAGACAGAGGTAGTGACGGAATCGGACAGAAAACTGGCTGTGCGTCTGTCAGTCATCCAGTCAAAAATTATCCCAGTCCAACATCCAGACACGTCAGTAATTCCCATGGTCAGCAAGTGATTCCCCAGCCATTCATCTAATCATTCCCCAGTCAGCAAGTGATGACTCCATCCAGTCAGCGATACCTGAAGCGCGTCAGTCAGTGGAGCGGTTGGACGTTAGTCACTGCCGGCCGGGCGCGTTGAACGCAGCGTGCTAGTTAGATCGGGGGAGGGTGGCGCGTACGTTGGACGGTCGTTTTAGATGCGCTCACATGCACCAGAGGCGGCCGGACCGACCCCAAGTCACCGCAGTCATTCAAGCCGGCCGCACACGGAAAGATAGACACAACACAGGCCACCGCACGGCCCAATCGAAGCCAGCCGCCAGAGATCCACACCTTAGTACAGAGCGGCGCGCGCCGGGCCGCGGGCCGCCGGGGCGGGCCGCGGGACTCGGCCGCGGCGGCCCGCGACCGCGCAGCGCCGCCCTCCCGCCGCACACAGTACAACAGCCAATGCACGCGAGCGACCGACACACGGCGGGCGGCAGCACAGTCGGCGCGGCCGAGCCACACGGCCCGCAAGCTCTCTGTCTGGTCTCCCTCTCCAGTTTGGCACCGAAACTGTGACCTCTCGGCGGATACTAAGTACGCGGCCGACGCGAGTCGACCCAACAAACAGCGAACGCGCGCGCGCGCGCAGCGGATATGGCGGCGGCCGGTCGCGGCGCGGCGCATCACAGGCAGCGGGCGCGCGGCCCAGCACAGCGGCTAGCTCTACCACCCTCTCCCCAGCCCAGCCAGCGCGACGGCACGCAGCTCGCTGCCACCGTCCGAGCAGCTACTGGAACGACACTACACGTTTAGAAACAGGACAGCTCAAAAATATGGCCAGGGACGCGTGCCGAATGGGCAGTCACTGTGAATTTTTACAGACAGTTGAACTGTCAGACTGTGGAGCAGACCAGTGACAATCACCAGCTCGACTACGTTAACACACAAGCACAAACCTGTCCAGTACCGCCATCATATGGCACAAAAAGAAATCCAAGCTTACCGTAACTAACACCTAGACAGGGTGATATGCAAAGCACGATTCATTCATATCGAACAAATACCCTAGGCTTGACACAGTCCGATCCGTTCGATATGTTAAAGAAAATACCGAAAACGGCGGCCTCCAGAGACCGGCACAACTTGCAATTTAAGCTCTCTGTTTGTGTCTGTATTCTACGTCTGCCCTGTCGGCTCACTCGTCACTATCACAGCTGACTCGGCGGCGCTCGCAGCCGCCCACAACCGAGACCAGCATGACGATCACAGGATGGCGACCGGAGCGGCGCAGCCTCCGCCGCCCGGCCGCGCGTCAGCCAGCCAGCTCTGCCCCGGACCGGTCAGAATGTGCGCAGTGGATAGGCTGAGACCGTGTGCGTGCTGAAAGAACGAATCTCTCTCTCGGTCCACCACAGCCGGACCGCTCACATTTTGCGCATGCGCTTCAGCGCCGGTTCGCCGTTCTGGATCTGGGCGTAGGCGGCGGCGGCGGCAGCGTTGGCTGCCGCCAGCCCGGTCTGTGCGGGCGCCGCTCCAGCCAGCATCTGCTGCTGACTGGCCAGGACGCTCGGCTGGCCGTAGCCGGCCATGGCGAAATAGGGAGACGCCGAGGCCGTCGAGCCCATGGCCAGGTAAGGAGAGGAAGAGGAATAGGCGACGGCGGCCGCGGCGGCGGCGGCCGGCTGGGCGGCGTACAGTGCCGCCGCCGGCTGCAAGTACGGATTGGCCGCGTACTGCTGCTGCTGCTGCTGTTGCTGTAACAGCAGCCGCTGCTGCATCAGCAGTCTCTGCTGCGTCTGCTGCTGCTGCTGCTGCTGCAGCGCCACCTGCAGCTGGTACTGCTGCTGCTGCTGTTGCTGCTGCTGCAGGAGCAGCTGGTCGGCGGACAGCGCCACAGGGGCGCCGGCGCCGGCGGTCAGGCCGGCCGCCGCCACTGGGTAGCCGACGGGGCGCACCCCGGCGGCCGGCAGCGCCGCCTTGCTGATGGCGTAGCCTGTATAGAGCGCCGGGTTGATGACGGGTGGCAGGGAGCCGGCCGACAGGGCCGTGGACGTGGTCAGCGCCGTGGACAGGCCGGCGCTGACCGTCACCGGCTGCGGGCCGGCCGAGCCGGCGTCCGCGCCCGAGGCGCCGCTGTCACTGGCTGACGCGGCCGACTGGGGCGGTGGCGAGGCGGCGCCGGCCGCTGCCGCCAGTCCGTTGGTGGCGGTGCCGTGCGCCGAGCTGGCGCCGGCGCTGGCGGCGCTGTGGCCGCTGGCCGGCCGCTCGTGGTCGGCCGTGTACTCACATGGCGTTTGGTGCAGATAGCTCTGCTGCTGTTGCTGCAGCATCAGTTGCTGGTAGCTGGCGGCGCCGGGTGCCGGGTAACACGGTATGCCCGCCTTGTCACCGGCCGAACGCTTGTAGGCCACGCCCATACCGGGGAAGGCCTGGCGACAGGTAGACACACACACAGACACACGGGTCACACGGGTCACAGGTCAGCCGGCTGAGACGGGACGGCGGGACGGCCGCCGGCGGACCACGACACACGTTACACGCGCACAGGGCAGGCGCGCGTCAGTCAAGCTGCGACCCATGGCAGGCAAATAAATGTTTCAAAAATAGCACAATTTACACAAAATTTATCTGCCGTTCACGAGATTTGAAAGCAGGTCGCGAACAAGGGCGCCTGCATAACGGTACACTAACGACGATTCGAGCTGAACTGGGCACATACCACAGGCAACAAAAACCTCAGCGGTTTGCGGAGAAATAACCTTTGGCCTCTTGATAAGCACCATCATCGTTTGTGAGCAACCTATAGTTCCATTACCGCACCATAGATTCGCTAGAAATGAGACCACTGAGTGGAGTCACTGACAGGGTCCTACCCCACCGGTGCCCTGTGAGCCGTGCAGTCGGACGGTGGCGCGGGTGGCGCGGGTGCTCGGCCGTGGGTGAGCGGTGGGCGGCCGGCCGGCCGGCGCGGTGGTGGGGGCAGCGGCGGGGCGGGCGCACAGATATACACGCTGCAGCCACGGACAGACAGGGGGTGACGGCGGAAGGGGAGGGACTGCCGCAGACGGCAGAACATGCACTCAGTGCGCCGACCGGTGGCCGCAACTTACACCAAAGTATACTTGAGCGTCGTAGGCAGGCTCGCCCTGAAACCGAGAGCAGAGAGCGTCAGAAGTGGATCCATGGAGGGCGGCACCCACACACAGAGCTGGAAGGTAGAGTCAGTACTGGAGAATGGAGAAGGATAAGTTGACGCAGACGGAAACTGAACAGATTCGGAACTCTGATTTAAAAGGCAGAGGAACGTCAAAAACATTTATGGGCCCAGAGTACAAGGGCAGCCATGCAATGTTCAATTCAATGGCACAAGCGCTCTCAATTCAACATTCTCGAGTGCACACATGAGCAAAAGAAAACAGACGGAAGAAATAAACGTGAGTGAGCGGCATTCGATTATTGAGTTATTGACTCGATTTGTACAGGGGAGCTGCAGTTGAGCAGGCGTCTCGACCCGCCCGTCTACCGCACACGGCCAGCGCACCCGGCCACAACGACACACATGACGCAAGCACGCCAGAAAATAAGCACGGAGCTAGCAAAGGCATGTCCGAAGAAGGAAGAAATTTTGACACTGTATTAGGTATTACAGTATGTGCTCTGGCGGCGGCGGCGGTGGAGGGTGCGCTGGCAGTGACTGCAGTATGTACAGGCGTCAGCGGGCGGGCGGGCGGACGGGCGAGCCGCGCTGGTGTCTCGCCACCGCTCCCAATGCTAACCAGCTCATCGGCGGCGTCTCTGGGACGCTTGCGGCTTCCGTCGAGAGCAGCGGCCGTCAGCGGCTGCTCCACCTTGAGCCGTTAGTGGGCGAGCGGCGTGCAAGCGTCGCCAAGCCAAGCAGGTGGGTGTGCCGAGGTGGGCGGCGGACACGGCAGGGCACAGCACGGGCGGCGGCCGGAGACCAGACAGCGGCAGCGGCGGGCAGAGCAGGGAGACGCAGAACAGAGAGAGACAGAGAGAGAGAAACTCATCAGCTCGGCGGGCGGTCCAGCGGCGCCGACCAGGACTGGGAACGGGCGGTGGGACAGGCAGCGGCCCACATGCGCCGCGTATGTACAGCGCACGAGGAACAGCTACCGAGCGGCCCCGCCAGCCGTCAGCAGAGCGGCCCAGCGACCGTCAGCAGCACGGCCCCGCACACGGGAAGGGGAGACGAACCCTGGCCACGTCGGCAAACGGATCATCTGATCTGCTCAAAACCGCCAGTAATGACGGCATACTTCTCAGCGACAAATAAAAAGGAAATACCCCAGATGACACATCCAGATTGATGGACGGTTGTTGAAAACTCAGCAGCACCTCTCAGAGCATAATTCCGGCATGGCCACTGTTCGTCACACCTTCACCATTCATCTGCTTGTTCCCCTCCCACAATCGTGCACAGATTTACACAACACCGATATCCAATCTCAGGCGCAGTCACAGCCAGGTCAATATGTAATGTACGTCAGCCAAATGTTGTAACCCATTCACTGTAACAGAGCATGTATGTGAGTGTGTCCATTGTCAATGTAAACACCGATCAAGCGGCGCCACACATGCCAATCGACAGAGCCGCGGAGCCGTCAGCGCTGAAAATGGTCAGTTCAAGCACAAACCCGCAGCCGGCGGCGCATATTCACAGGGCGCGCGTCACGCCAGCCGGCCCAAGCTCCCTGTTGTCCCTGCCACCGGCGCCGGTCAGCGCGTGTGTGAGGCGGCGGAGGGCACCCGCCGACTTCGGTGGACGGCACCAGCACATGGAAAGCGTCCGGGCCAGGCTGGGCGGCGGCATGCTGGCAGATGTGTGACGTCACATGCCCTCGGGAGGCGGCGGAGTGGAGGAGGCGGGGAGGCGGGGCAGGCAGCAAAGCCACATAGGCGGGGAGGCAATGAAACGGTCAGAGAGGGTGAGACACTGGTGACAGAGAGGAAAAGGAGACAATAAAGCAATTTTATTGTCCAACATCTAAAGATAATCAGCATTTAACGTTAAAATCTCGCGTTTCAACTTTGAAACTATATGTTGAATTACTTTGGTCTTATCTTAGGCTTTGAGCATTGGGCAACAATTGAAAGACTCAGAAACGTTAATGGATATCGAGCTTAACACAGTGAGCAATTGAATATTGACATGCTTAAACGTTTTGACGATATGCATGACAACTTCAAGCTGGAGAGTTGTATGACAAACTAGCATAGTTAAAAGAAAATGACACCAAACTGCTACAAAAATGATCGTGTTGTGTCACCAAACACATGCGGCAACATGTGTCCAAAAAGGTTAAAAAAGAATTCAAAAAGAAAATGGATGCATGTCCGATTAGACAAAGCAGCTTGAGTTCAGCATCAATTGAACGGCAAACATAATGATAAATTATTTGTTAGCCATGCACTCATTAGGCATGCTATAAAATGTATTGTAAAAATGTCCGCGCATACCATAAAGTGTATATTAACCAAAGAGTTAGGAAGTTGATTTTGTCCCAAAACCCATATCAATAGACAAAACTTCACATCAATGACAAAGGTGGATGGAGCTTGAATCCGTGCAATCGGCCAGTCCGAGCGAAAATGATTGAAAGGTAAGAAAACAGGAGATATGAATTTATAGAACTTATAGATAAGAAAGATAGAGTTAAAAAGATAAATGAAAAAGATAGAAATAAAGATGGATAGATAGACTGATCGATCGATTGATTGACTGAATGAAATATAGATAAAAAATATTGAAATAACTATAGATATTGGCGATTTCGAGAGAGGAGAGCGAGCGAGAGAGAGAGAGAGTGATAGAGAGAGAGAGAGAGAGAGAGAGAGAGAGAGAGAGAGAGAGAGAGAGAGAGAGAGAGAGAGAGAGAGAGAGAGAGAGAGAGAGATGTGAAGGACAGAGCCTAGGAGCGTCGGACTGGCCGAGCCCATGCAGTGAGGTCGGCCGGGTGAGGCCAGGCCGAGGGTCAGGGTACGGGGCGGGGGGCCGGGGGGTACGGGGTACGGCGGTGCCTACCAGTGCGGCGGGGGAAGCTCGCGGAGCCCGGAGCTGGGCCTGCAGGTGCGAGGGGGGATGGAAGTAGCGGCACGGCTCGCGGCCACAGCGGCCCTTGACCGCGTCCATGCACACAGTGACCTGGCCGTCGTCCACGGCCACTTGGTCCGGCGGGTGGGCGTAGCGACACTCCTGTTCGGCGCGCTTGCACGCGCCCCGCTGAAACTCGCGACAGACCTGCAACAACAGAGCCAGGCAGAGGCCTCTCAGCGGCGCTGCACGGGCCCGCGCCGTCGGCCCGTGGCGAGGGGAAGGTGACGGCGGGACGGAAGGATCGGAGCAGAGGCGGCTCTTCTCCCGCCGGCGATTGGAGCTGCTTGTCGGACTGAACGGATGGAGGGAGGCAGGGAGACAGAGACGGGAGCCGGGGCCGGCGGGGAAGCAGGGCACAGGGTGCGGCGGAGGCGTGAATCCAGCAACCAAGCTGCTCCTGGGTGATGGTGGGGCTGAGCGGGTGGCTGCGGGCGCGGCGGGGTGGCGGCGGGTCGGTACGGGTACGTCAGCCGCCCGGGTCAGCTGCAGGGCACACCGACTTAGCAGCGCGGCGGCGGCGGCGGCGGCGGCGCGGGAGGCAGAGTATGTGACAGTCAGCTGCGCCAGACCACACGGGCCAGAGAGAGACAAGCGTGTGCTACCCTACGCTGCGCCGGTGCCGGTGTCCGCGCCGCCCGAAGCCCGGTGATGTAGCTGGCGGCGGCGCCGAGAGACGCACACACACACGCACACACGAGACCCCACACGCACAGGCGGACGGACACAGAGAGACGCAGGGACGGCCCGCTCACACACAGACAGACAGACAGACGGCGGCCCGACAGCGGTCCGGCGCCGGCGGCGCCCTGACTGCAGCGCTATGTATATGGCGGAGGAGCGGCGCCGGCGGCGGCTGCTGCGACCTTACCTCCAGCCGGTCCGAGCGCTGCATCTTCTGCTGCAGCTGCGGCAGTGCCAGCGGTGCCACCAGGCCGGCGTCACCCACCGCCTGTGTCGGCGCCGCCGTATAGAACTGGGACATGCTCGGCGGCAGGCTGTACATGGGCGCCGTCGGAGACGTCATCTATCGGCAGGACGGGCAGGCGTTAGTCGGCACGGCCGCCACGGGCGCGCTGGGGCGGCGGACACTGACGCCCGAGAGCCGAGATAGGCTGGCAGGGACTGGATTTTGCAAACGAACAGTGCTGGCAGAAAGCTGAGAAATACTTGATCGATAATATTTGGCAGCGAATGGTAATGTGAGCCGCTGACATAAATCAAATGATACATGAGTAGATGATATGTAATTGCACATATAAGTTATCAGCGCTGCGCCACGGGACGCGGAAGTGGCTCCGCTATAGCGTTTACCGAGGTCAGGCTGCGGTGGCCGGGTCGGCCCTACTCACATGACCCAGCCTTGTGAGCACAGACCATATGCAGGGCACGGTGGCGGGGCATGCGGCTGGGACCACAGCAGCAAGGGTCGCATGCAGGGCAGGCGACATGGAAAATGAGGGTGATTGTGGGACACCAAAGTCACACTACCACAGGGCCCCGTCTCCCCAGGCTTCAAGTAAGCGACTAGCAAAAAATACTGAGCAAGAGAACGGCTGGCAGGACCCTTCCCAGCATCTACCCTCCCAAGGAGCCCGCATCCTTCGTTAGTTCCCACATAACATTCGTAGGAGTAAAATATATGTTCCTGGGAGAATAGAAAAAGAGACGTCGATGGAGAAGAATGTCGGAGAGAGGGAAGCGAGTAAGCAAGACGGAAAGAACAAGAAAGAGCGAGCGAGAAAGAGAGAGAGAGAGAGAGAGAGAGAGAGAGAGAGAGAGAGAGAGAGAGAGAGAGAGAGAGAGAGAGAGAGAGAGAGAGAGAGAGAGAGAGAGAGAGAGAGAGAGAGAGAGAGAGAGAGAGAAGAGAGCAACAGAGAGCGCGCGAAGGAGGTTCCTCCCGGCGCCGCGCCGGTCGGGCGGGCGGGCCGACCGCCCGGCAGCAGCCCGCTGCGCCGCGCCGCGCCCGCTCGCTCGCGCAATCGATGCCGGCGGACGGCGGCGGCAGTGGAACGGCGCCGAGCCGACCCGCCCGCCTCTTTCCGGTGAGATAGCGCCCAGTTCCGGCCGGTCGGGCTAGCGCTGCTCAAAACTGGAGGGAGAGGAGACGGTAGGCAGCCGACTGACGGCAAAACCGGCAGTTGGCGACAGTCTGTGAGGCGCATCTTATCGGTCTGCCCGGCTGTCTCATGGCGGCGGGAAACGGCGAGCGAGCGGAGCCGCCAGCGAGCGAGGAGGAAGAGAGAGAGAGAGAGAGAGAGAGAGAGAGAGAGAGAGAGAGAGAGAGAGAGAGAGAGAGAGAGAGAGAGAGAGAGAGAGAGAGAGAGAGAGAGGCGGGCAGGGGGCGCAGCTATCGGCATGCACGGTCCGTATATTACCTCTGCACCACCACCGCCGGCATAGGCCAGCACCAACTGTCCGTGGCTGGCGACCTGGCCGGCGAGACAGACGAGAGGGGAGCCTCAGCAAAGGCAGTTACGGGCGGGGAACGGCAGGCGGCACGGGCTCTTATGCCGGCACTGGCGCTAATGCACGCTCTAGCACCAGTGTCGGTGCCGGCACCGGTAACAGCAGCAGAACTGGTATCAATACTGGTACCGAGACCAATACTGTCTGTCACCAATACCAGTAGCGATACAGACACCAATACCGATGCCAGCACCGACGCTCGCACTAGCACAGGCACTGGCACCAACACCCGGCGACCGGTGAGCCATGGTGCCAACCAGCAGTGAACTAAATCGGTGCGGACAGGTAGAAAACACACGCAAACAGAAAGCCACAACCCGGCAGCCAAAATTAACCACAGCAGCAAGCGGGCGGCGTCGGAGGGGAGCAGGGCTGGGATCGAAAAGGATTAGGTTCCCTTCCGTGTTTTCTAGCGTACGTGCGTCAGAGATGTGCATTGTGCAGTACCTACGCAGTGTTCTAAATACGCTGAGTATTCATTTTTGTGTGAATGTGTGCTTCTGAGCGTGTGATATAGAGACAAAAGGGGAGACAGAGACGGGAAGGGACGTGTAACCCTATTAAAGGAATTTCCTATCCGGCACGCGAGTGCTTTTCCCCTCGACCGGGCCAAAAAGTTACATCAGTCGACTGCAGAGGGCTGGCCGGCGCCCTACCACTCTTCTCTGAGCTCAGTGACCTGCCAGGTCCAACAGCTGACCAATGGCCCGACCAAATGACCAACTGGCCGACCAGTGCAGTAGCACAGCGACACATTACTGCCCTAACCAACGTAAACAGTAAACACATTTCTGGGAACCGCGGCTCGACAGAGACAGATATGCCTCTGCTGGCGCTTCGTACAGCACTCAGATAAAGCGGCTGACGTACGGAAGCGCAGGCCAAACGTGTGTTTTTAAACCATCACTCTACTTGATGCGAGCTCGTCGGATGTGTGGGGAGCCCTCTGGCCGGTAACGTGACTTGACAGTATCGAGACGGAGCGTGGCCAGGGCAGTGAGGTGGGAAATGAATGCGTGTTTCCGGCCCATCCCTGTGTGACGCCCCTGCTGGCGCCACCCACAGCCGTGACACGGCAACTCGGGCGGCCACAACCGTGACGTGGTCGTGATGTGGTGTCACGTCACGTCGTCACGTACTGTGAGCGCGCTTCCCACTGCCCTTATAAGAGATGTGGGTGAGCCATAATAAGTTCTGTCATGACGGGGAACCCTACTAACCAGGGGGAACTCCCTACTAGCCACGAAGGATAGCAAGGGACTGGGAACACCCACAGAAACAGGCAAATAAACTGAGGAGGTCGGGGCATACCGAGCGGTGGGCCCACAGCAACACAAAGACAACGACAAACACCAAACCACTGACATGCAGACGGGCTGGCGGGCGGCCGGGGCCGTTAGTGAGCGGCGGCGGGGGCGGGGGCGGGGGCGGGGGCGGCCCACTCACCGGCACAGTACCCGCCATCGGTAGACTGCCGGCCGCGAACTGCTGCATCAGCGCGTTCTTGATGGCCAAGTTGTTCCTGCCGTTGATGAGCAGTTGTTCTTTGAGATGTTGTGGTGGATGGAAGTACTTGCATGGTGGCTTCTCGCGGTTACACCGGCCCTGTGAAAGCAGAAAAGAGCTGGTCAATAGGAGTCACTGCATCGGAAACTGTTCACTGCATAGGACACTGATCACTAATCGTCTCCCTCCGTATCATTAGCAACCATTGGTTCGGTCACATGGTCAGACACTGGTTATTAGACTGAACACTGGTGTCACCACTGCTTAGTCATTGATCACTGATGGTTGCTGAACCAAACACTAGTGACTGACGACGACCACTCTAGAGATGTGATCAAATCCATAATGTGACACGCGCGTCACGGCGTGTACACAGACACAGAATGATGGACGAAAAGCGGCGGCAGATGTTTGAGTAGGCCGGCCCGGTTCGACGGCAGCGGTTTGGAGCTAACGAGGGGCGTGAGGCCGCCGGTCGCTGCTGCTGCAGTCCCGGGGAAATGGCAACGCTCCCGGCAGAGCTTCGGAAATGGCGGCGCTTCCCGTCTTGCCACCAGAATAACAACTCGCTAGATGGGACGGCGCGGAGCCGACCGGCGCCGCGGCTCGACCTTACTCGGCAGACGGGGACCAAGATAGGAGAGAGATGCTGACATAGCTCAGGGCGGAGACGCTGAGCAGCCAGCAGGCGGAAATGCGAAATGCCGACCGCACGAGGTGCAGCCATGATAATTATAAGCTCTGATTACTAGATCTCCACTGGCAGTAGGGTATACTTCGGCCGGCGGTCAGCTCCAGGTCGCTGTGCCGCGTCCCTAACGAGCATGTCTCCAACAGTCACTCTGTGCGACCGTTCGGTCAGAAACAGCGTGGGAAAGCCCGACCGGTCGACCGGGCCCACTTAGCGAGCCAAACGCATGCGACAGGTGGTCGCTGCCACCTCGCCCCGCACAAATACGAGTGTCGGGCGAGTACGTGCTGCGGCGAGCGACCGGCCGTCGGGGGCGACACCCACTAACCTCCCCCCCCCGTCCCACACCCCACACAGGACCGCCCGCCTCCCACACAATCACACTACACTGGGCGCGCATGGCGTGTGACCGACCACAAAAACAGTGACAGCACGTGGGGCGGCGTTTTTTGTCCCGTCCGTCAGTCGGCCGGGAGGGTAGCGCTGGCGGCGGCATCGACCGGTGAGGCGGTGGGCGCCGGGAGGACGGAGAGAGCACGAGAACAGCTGACTGATCGGAGAGGACTAGCTATTGCGATTTCGGGGAGAGATACAGAGAGCACGAGGATCGGCGACCGACTGCCCTAACCGCTATGCCTAACTGGTTGTGGTGTCAGTTATAGCCAGTCCCATGAGTTGAAGCCTGGGTGAGCACAAGGCTACAACTCATGGGAAAGGCAGGAATTCCTCACCCAAAACCATCGTACACTTTGCGTGGAGAGGTATACGGTTCACCCCTGTGGTCATACACAATCCGTCAGCCTCAATCTTTCGGAAGACGGATAATCCAAAGCAGTCTTATCGAACTTCCACCTCAAATTTACGACTTTTAGTGCCCTTCGCTCAAAGAAAGGCAAACAGCCGGCTTAGTGAATCAGGTGTTTCCTACATTGACTATCTATCCTAATTACCCGGTCTATGGTTGATCATGTTATTGAAGTCCGTAAGCGATGCCTTATTATACAAGCCAATATAGCGGAGAAGAGCGACAAGCGGCAAAAATACAAAAGGTTTCAATGTACCCGGGGCAGAACACATCCATCAGATGCGCCTCAGTGAACGACAGAAGGCAAGACGCGCAATCTTTGAGCTCCATCATCTACGAACAAAGAACGGCTTTGTTATTGACCAATGGTTATCTCAGATATAGGATACATCCAGAAAGCTGTCAGCAATGGCGGCGCGCAGTTATGTTCAGCGCGAGGTAGGTACTGTTCGACGAGCTTACAGACGACCCGACCACGTTTTTAGAAAGAACGGCTCGGAGATGCAAGGCCATGCACCAGCGATTTTCATGGGACAGGGCTCCGCAGTACACCATGGTACTCAGTTTGTTTGATACAATGAGCTCAGTGATCTCACGTCAACTGAACATACCTATATCTATAATGAGAATATTACCAAATGTACAAATTAACGCTGCTCCCGCTCAGGCAGACACCCCCCCCCCCCAAAAAAAAACTTTCTTTCCTCGGCGATCAATGACATTATTTGATACACCAGTCGCTGCCAGCCTTCTAGCGATGGCTTGATTGCATATCTAGCGACTGGCTATATAGCCAGGGGCGGAGACCTCCCTGGCCTGCCAAGTGAGTCTGACAGACCGTCGCCGCTCGGCGCGCGACACCGGACACCAATCTCGGTCGCCGCTTCTTCATACCGGCAAAAAGGATCGTTTTTCTATGCCGCAATCGGGGTCGGCCGGCCGCGCGCACCGCTCAGCGCCGCAGCGCGATTCGCGCCCGCCACAGCCGCGGACGGTCGTAAAAAGCCGCACTGCCCGGCCGGCACAGCGCGCGGCCACGCGGCGGCGGCTGCAGCGACGGCGGCGACGGGGCGGCGGCGGCCGACTGACGCCCATCGATCCCGGACAGCGGCCGAACAAAGGCAATGGCGCCGGCCGCCGCCGCCCGCCCGCACCCTCTCGAGCCAGCGCCCGCCGGACACAATTAGCATGATATAATCGGCCGGCGTTCCGGGGCACATGCCACTGGGTCAGGTCAGGTCCTGATAGCTGGGTCGTGTCCGGAGGGGGAGGCTGCAGTCTGTGATAGTGCGTGTGTGGGAGAGTGGGAGGCAGGGGAGTCTCTGCGTCCGTGCGCGCCCGTAAGTGTTTGCACCGCGGGGGTCGCCCGGGTCGGCTCTGGGCGGCCAATATCCGGCGCCGGCTGTCGCCAGCCGTGTCCGTTATTGCTTTCCTATCGATGGCGGTGGGTGTGGCGCTGCACCCCTGCACTGGCGCCAGGCGCCGCCCGCCCGGGCCCAGCCCGCAGACAGCCCGCTGTCAGCCATGGCTCTGCAGCCGGGACGCCGGCCGGAGCTGCAGAAAGTCTCAGCGGGCGGTCCTTGCAGCCCGCCCGGGACCACTGTGTGGTCTGCCGGGACCAACTGCGCGGTCCCGCCCGGTGCCATCCTACCCGGGCGTCACACAAAGCGAGCGAGAGCGCCGGAGCTGAGCGGTATGAAAGAGCATAGTCGGCAGCGCCGCCGCCGCTGGAACGCGCACGGAGCGGTCCTGCCGCCGTCTCAATGGAGCCATCGGAGCGCCGGTCCTGCTGCCGAGCGGCCGCCGCGGCCGGTCGGCGGCACTGGGTCAGACCGGCCGGCGCCGGCGCCGCCCCGGCGCGCGCACACAGAGACTAGCACACTGCAGCCGCCGCCTGTCCAGTCAATGGCCGATTGCGCTGCCGCCGGCCGGGCGCGCAATTCCATCTGGCCGGCGATTCCGCTGGATGGCGGTGGCGGATGGTTCCGGCGGCCCCTCCCTCCCTCTCTCCTCCCGGCCCAGCTGCCGCCGGGGCAGTGAGTAGTAAAACGGCACGTGGCGCACGCCGACGCGGCCTGCACTGCGGCGGTCGGCTCGGCTCGCCAGGACAGGGAGGGGCAAGAGGTCACCGACCGGTACGGTGAGCCGACTATTGGACGCTACGGTGGCCGCATGACCGCCACCCGTGCACTGCAGAGTGCGGCGGACTTGAACAAAGTGCGGTGACGCCCCGGCCGCATCCCCGCCATCACTCTAATGACTGCGACAAAGCGTAGTGTGCACTGTGCATCAGTAATGCTAGATCTGTGTTCCCGGCACCACGGCTGGTTCAGATCCCGGTCCGTTGAGATTTTGGTGTCTTCCGACACTAAAGAAAACGGGCAATGTGCAACTCTTGCTGCAATGCTGAGCTGGAGATGGGTTGAGCTGGAGATGGGTTAGGGGAAATGTTTGCACCTTTCGTGCTCAGACATGCATTAGAGCGTCTGTAGCGCTGCCACGTCATCTCAGTGCACCCCACGGCCAGACGCCGGTCAGGAGCACTCCCTGCAGACCGCCGCCGCGCCGGCCGCAGACGGCCACATTCCGTCCCGCCGCCCTCTCGGTGCCCGCTGCACGCCGGTGCATTGTTGTCGCAGTCCGGGGCCGCGCGCCATAATAAATGGCGTCTCAGGCGAGCCGGAGGTGACCGCGGTCCGGGCGCCTCGTGCCGGAGAGGCCGGTCGGGGCAGCCGGTGGAATCCCGCACCGGTGCCAGCGGCTGCAGTGGGCACTGCAGGGGACCGACAGACGCCGACAGGGGCACCGGAGCGAGCGGGCGGCCCCGACCCGGACTGGGACATCACAGGGTGACAGCCGCGGCCGCCCCGAGACACGGCCGGCGCGGCCACCCTAATTACCGCGCACACTCCCTCCCTAGCACCGCCCGGCAGCACCCAATTACTCGGCCCATGTCTCCCTGTTGCGGCAGGCCGGGAATACGACATGGAGACAGGCCAGCCCACCGCGCTAATGTCTATTGACAGCCGCCAGTTGACCTTTTGCTTCCAAATCCCGTCAACAAGAGCATTAGTGCGCACAATGGCACTGGAGCGGCCGGCTGCCGGTGAACGGGGCGCTGAGCCGGGTTAGCGCTGCGGTCTGGAACTGCGCCGCGGCGCGGTGGGGGTGTCAGGTGTACCGGGGCCCAGCTGCCGCCGGTGGTGGCCGCCCGGGCACCGTTCCAGCCGCGCTGACCGCCGGTCAGCCGGCCGTGGCACGCTGCCGACACCGGCTGGCGGAAGTTGACGCCGCTCCAGGACGGCACACTGTTGCTGCTCGGCCGTCGCCAACACAGCTCGGTGGGGCCCTCCCCTCCGCAGGCCATCATTAGCCGTACCAGACCATACATTATACCACAAAAGCAAATGGCATTAGGTGTGGTCTATTCACGCGCTGTCCATCAAGGGACGGATTGTTTGCGCCCACCAAAGGAACCTGATCGCGATGAAAGACGCAGGCTAGCTCAGTTCCCCAGCGCTAATTTGACACATGTTCTTATAACGGTGCTTCCAAGTCGTAATCACAATGTGGAAACAAGTAGTAGCTGATTACAGTGATTAC